AGTTGGATGGCTTAGTTCAGTTTTCATCTAACGTGGGGATTTTGTCATCCAGAGCAGCTTTCCCTAGGCACAGGGTGTGGCTCTTAAGACTTAAACCATCCAGTCCTGTTACTGTTACTTAAATTGAATCAGCCATACTAAATTGAGCCAAAGTATTTGTCTTTACAGTTTGTCATTCTACATTTAGAATGAAACATAGTTGTATAGCTGGAATAAATATAATTTATTCAGTGGGCTCCTGGCTGAAGGGTCTTGATATATGGATCTGCTGTGTGCTTTTTTTTGTTTGTTTTAATTTGTCACCTAATAGTCTGCTTTAAAGTTGCACCACAAATGCATGTGTTAAATACTTGAATTTTGTTTTGAACTAAAACTTCAAACTAGTTAAGTCCTCAGATAAGATTTTAAAGAACACCATACTGCTCACTTCTCTGTGTAAATTTCTTTCAATTCTGCACAGCTGTGTTTGGGATAACTGGACATTTAAAGGTATTTTTCCTTTGTGAACTGTTCTACTGTTGGTTAATGTGAATAAAGTAGCAATGACATTGTCATAGTTTGTGGCTCAAGAGGTGCTCCAGTTGCCAGTTGTCGCTTCCTGCCTGTTATGTTGTTATGTGCCCTTCCTCTGACTCACAGAGGCCATGCGAAATATATGCCATTTCTTTATGAAATATCCAGGGAAAAAAAAAAAAAAAAAAAAAAAGGAAAAAAGATTTATTTATAGTTGGTTACAGGGCTCTCTTTCATGTTAAAGATTTGAGAAGAGCTGAATTCTTTAGTATTTTTTAATAAGTTTATAAAATCCTTTAGTATCAGTCTCTCAAAATCTTGTAGTGCTTTTTTCCTCTGGAGGATGGAAGGACAAATACCTTGTGGGCGAGAGCGTCGTTCAACTCTTCTAATTGTAAGTTTGTCATAAAGGATAATTTTAAAATCCCTGTTGAATTATGTCTATAAATGATGGATCGTTTTTCTTGTGTCTTCTGTAAGGGATGCAACTTCTGCTTGCTACTTTCAGGGGTAGGAGTAGGGGTTCGTGCAGAGTACGTTTTTAGGCCGAGGTGGTGGTAATAATGGGAAAGAGACTTCTGTAAAGGTCACAGTTTTATATAATCTAGTCCTGTAGCTTGATCTGACTGAAATACTTCTTTGTAAAGAGGAAACTTCTTAGGTTGGCTATAAATATTTGTCAGAAATATAAACCAATTTAAAAAGTAAATGTGATGGTTGTATATGCACTGAAACACTGCACCAGCCAACAGCAGAGGATGAGGAAATTTATTTTTCAAATAGATGTGTTTGAACAGAAGCTGTGCAACAAGACAACCTGACAGCAGGCTGGGCTGTCAGAGGAGCACCAATGGGTCACTTTGTATTCAAAATAAAGGGAAGGTAGTGGAGTTATGAGCAGAACATAGGCAATGTTTGTCTAGGAAAGGGTGTTGTCTTTAGAAATAAATAGGGCTTAACACATTTAAAACACATTACTTAGAATTAGAATTAATTAATTCAGAGTTAATTAGCTAATGTTCCTTTTAAAGCATTCATGAAGTGTTTTGAGAAAAACATTTTTCATTTTTCTGTTGGGAAAAAAAAAGGATTCAAAGAAATATGAAACTGGTGTAAGACTTTCTAGTGTCAACTGTAATTAATTCTACAAAGCTTCTTCATGTACCTCTGTATGTGCCTTCTTTTAAAATATATGTATGTTTAAATAGATTTTTCCTTTTTTTCTGTAGACAAGCAAATCACATTCATCATCTTCTTATTCAAGGCCATTATCTGTGGTAATTTAAGCCACAGACAGGAGAGGAGAGATGTTCTGATTGAGTGTTACTGCCAGGCCACTGCTGGAAAACAAGCATTCTGAGTACTCACGTAGAGCTTTTGTGCTTAAAGCTAGGAATTGGGCAGATCTAAATCTCCAAAATGACATAAGGACTGTAATTCTAAAAAAACCCTCAATAGTATTGAAAATTAGATATTGTTCTGGTGCTTGACTTTGTCAAGGTGTCTACAGCTCTTCAAATTTAAACATCATGCACAAAAGCCCACAGCATCAGGACTAGCAAGAGAGTTGTTACTTGAATGAATGACTCCTTATTTTACTGGTTTTGCTATGGTATGCGTATGTGCAACAAAACAAAGGATGGGTAAGGCACAGCAGACAGGCACTTTGTGGAGAGAAAAGCTGTATTTATCATGTACTAGTTCAATAAATCAAATTTTGTTCACTAGCTTACTGAAATATTTCTCATATGTGAAAGTTCTACTGCTAATGAAAGTTAAAAAAAAAAAAAGTAATGTTCAAAATTCAGTTGTTTTTAAATTTCTAAACTGATGAATTCTGCTCGAAGCTGTAATTGCTATATGATCAAAATATAGATACTGCTATTGGATCAAAATATAGGTATTCTTCTGAGCAGAATTGTGTTATTTGCAAGTGAGACCACAGTGGACCTGCAGCATGCAAAATCTCATGCAAACTATTCAGTTCAGCTTTCCCTTAGAAGTATTTTTGCATGCTAAGTGAGTGTTGTTATCATTAACTGCAGCATATACATTAGTTTGAACTCTGTGGGAAATAAAGACCATTTTAGCATCTGCTTGCATCTTGGGAACTGATTCAATGACTTTATTATGAAGGCCTAGAAAAATAGCCATTAGATTGTGCTTTTAGGAAAGCCAACAATTTCTGTGAACATGGTTTTAGAAACACTATTCTTACCTTGTAATTTGTTTTTTCTGAGGGGAAAGCTTGGTAAATTTGAGCAGATCTTTGTTCCTTGATGATTGAACTTTTTCAATACTTTTTTTGTACATTTTACATGTTAACTAGTCTAGCCTCTTTGTAGGGAGAAGGAGGACTTGCAGTATTCACTGTTGGCGTATAGCGAGCAACTATGTAAATGTTTCTCACACATTCATTTATCCGTGTCCAGAAATAAGTACAGCTTAAGACCCTTTACAGTCAGCTGAAGCCTTGGCCTGTGATGGACAGGTGGAAGTCACAGTGCTTTAAATCAGAACAGAAGGATTCACTTCAGGCACTGCCAAAGGACAGCATTCAGCTGTAACCTGCTTGAATGAGCACTGCAAGGGCACAGGGGGCACAGGCAGGGCAGCGATCAGTGCTCAGACTTTATGAAAATGGCGCCCAGTTTGGGGGCTTTAGATTTGAGCTTGGGCTTCATGGAGTGTTTCCCTCCTTTTACAGCAGTGTGACTGGGGTAACTATTCTAAAAGGTTTTCCACAGCTTTTCTTATAAGGATGGTTTTGAGCTGGTTGATGAATTCTCTGCCCTCCTACACCTTGTAGGTGGGAAAGATATTTGGTCTTTGTATCTAAAGCAAGCTCTTAATTCAGTGGTGATGCTCTTGGGAAAAAAAAAAAAAAAAAAAAAAAATCTCTGGGAATGTAGACTCTCCGTATTAGCTGAGTGAGTTATTAGGCAGAGGGGAATAAAAGCCATGTTAGCAAAACTCTTACATTTATACAGCCTTTTGAATCCCATCGGTACTGCCTCTTTGGTTAAACCACCTTCAGCAGTTTCAACTACAGCTTAAAACATCTCTGGGAAATGTGAGTGGGTTGTTGTCGTGACAATACGATAAAAATAAAAGGATTTCGTTGATGGCTGGAGCCCTTTGGCTTCCTAATGCAGTGAAACCTGCGGTCAATGCTGCAAGTGGCCGAGCCGTGCGGCTCCTCGTGCTGCAAGGGCACCTGCTGTTCTTCCAGGGAGAGCTGCCATGACAACTGCATGGCTTGCAAGCGCCAGGTCCCTGCTTTCCTGCAGCGATGGAGGGTCATTGGTATTCTGGGCGGCTGCCTGCTGCAGGCAGCAGCAAACCTTTCCCTTCCTCGGGATCTGCCAGCGCTCGCTGTTAGCACCCTGGGTAAAATATGCAAATGGTGTTGACAGGTATCTGGAAAGGGAAAAAAGGAAAAAAAGGCCCATTTGCCTAGAAGGAGTGATTTGTTTTAGCTCGTTAATTAAATGCTTTTACCAAATGGTTCTAACTTCCATAGCTTCTACAAATCTTTTATTCCCAAATCTCATTCAGAGTATGCAGTGTTAAATAGGAATGTAAAAAAGAATAGGGAAGGGAGGTAGGGGGGCATGTAGAGCACACAGGAAAACGTTAATCGGCTTATATTTTAAAAATATCTTGCTACCTGTGATCACTTATTTTCTTAGGGGTAGGTAAGAGGAGTTTGGTATTTCTTTTGTGGCATTTTTGGCTTAATGTGTTTTAAAGCAGACACTTCTCCACAAACTGGCTTCTTGGCTTTTGAGGGGTGGTTTTATTCAAATTCTTTGGTTTTGTTTCTTTAAAGAATGTCTAAAGCATTTGTCATTGTGACATTCCCATCCGTCTCCAGATGTATTGTAACTTCATTATTGCAACAATAAAGAACAGAATGAGCTGCAAAGGGCATGGAAGGAACTTTGTATTTCCTTTTTTCTTCAATAATAACAGGATGAAGTAGATGTGTTGTTGGTTTTGTTTGTTGTCTTTAACAGGACACCAAAATATGAATATTAAATGCCATAGATAGTAAAAAAAAAAAAAAAGAAAATAAAAATAAAAAATAAAAAAATGCAGAAGCAAAAAATTTTAACAGATTTTCCCACAAGCAATTGATGTAAGAATAGCAGAATGCGTCGGTAGGGTTCCTAGCTGTTTTCATCAAAGCTGTCAGCATGCACATATAGGCAAAAATACAGGTATTAAATGTAAGAGAAGGTGGTCTTGGAGGTAAGGGGCAGTCATACTTGACATTCTTGACTGTGAGGTTTCCTGTACTTCTTCTTGTCCATGGAGGATAGCTGATGTACTTAGGAACTAGAACGTTTGTCATTATAAAATAAAGTTATGGTATCGCTGTAAAAAGGAAAACACAAACTAATTAAGTGTTGTTGACTAACTGAAGACTTAGCATTCAAAAATACTGCATTTGTTTATTTTACTTTGTATATTTTGCCATCAAGGTGACATGCTTGCAGGACTTCTTTGGAGATGACGATGTCTTCATTGCATGTGGACCTGAAAAATATCGATATGCTCAGGATGACTTCGTCTTGGATCACAGTGGTAAGCTTTGGATCACATCCTGAACCTACAGAAATAGTCAAGTTCATTGAGATTTCCTTCCCCCCCCCCTCCCCCCCCCCCCCCAAGCTGTGCACTATAGAAAAATACTCACTGGAATATATTTTCTTATTGATGAAAGCATTTTCCCAGACTACCATCTCAATTCTGTATATCTGTTAAAATGCACTAACAATGTTTAACGAACCTTGTCGCTAAAGTTCAATGGAAAACAGCATTGAATTTCCAAAGGTTCAGTTATGTCTCTAAATGTTCCTAAAACCAGTTACAAACATTTACTTCTGACTTCTGTGGGCTACAAGATGGTCTCCATATTGCTGTCATCATGGGATGTTTGAAAAAATCACATTATGTAACTGCTAATTTCAGATCTCAGGTCGTCCTGCTAGACAATTCATATTCCATGTCGAGCCTGTTTATACTGTGAGATAGTAGGGGGTTATGTGTGGAGAAGGAGGTGAGACCAACCAGGACATTATGTCCATTGACAGATCATGAATTTAACTTGTTTAAGTTACTTTTCCATACAGAGAAAATCTATAGTGCAAGTTCAAGAAAAAGTTCCCTACTAGGGAGTTTTAGAATTGTCTTGGAAGATCATATCATACACACTTCTTTGTTGTTGTTTTTGTTTTTATTATTATTATTATTTGGGTTGTGAAATTTTGCTGTTTTTTCTAATTTTTATAAACACCATAATTTCATAAAAAGTCTGCTGTTATATCAAGAGGCATAGGTACATACCTAACCAGTGGTCCATACACTAGGATGCATAGAACATTTCAGCTGGTTCACATTCTAGTGTTATCAGCAGCATGCTATTCTTCCAAAAATACTTGATTTTGCTGATTCAAATAAAGGGTATGTTTTAACCATTTTAAACTAGCTAAGATATGTTTGTATTGTTGTGCAGACATAGGAGAACATGGTAGTATTAACTCACACTACTAATTCCAGTCTGAACAAAATTATAATTTCCTTTGTGATACTAAGGCTGTAAGTTTATTCTTCCCATTACACCATAGACAGACTAACTCAGCTCATTTTCTTACTGAGAACCCAGTTATGCAGGATTTCTTTCGAAGTTTGTCTCTTCACCTTCAGTGGTCCTTGCTTCTCGTTATATGTCTGGAGGTCATAATGGATAAAAGTAGTTTAAGTACAGAGCGGATCGTGATTTGGCAGGCAGGGGATACAGCTCTACATACTCCTTTTGATGGCGACTTTGTATCGCAGTCGCTGCATTGCCATCAATGTGATGAATAACAGAGGCAAAATCAAAAGGGAAATTTATATGATTTGATGGGGAGAGATTTGCAATAGATGCTAACTGTAGGGATTCAAATTTCATCAAAATGTCAATACATGTATGACTATTTATTCCTTTCCCATTTAGGTTGTCCTTTATTTAATGACACACAGTTGGTAGTAAATGGGAGTAATCTGTTGTCTCAGCATTTTGAAAGCAATAGACATTTTTCACCTCTTCAAAAATTTTTCACAACATCAGTTTCTTCTAAAATAAGGTGAATTGAGCTTGCCGTGCAGTTGCCCTATGTGAAGGTGCCGTTACAGCACAGGATTTACTGAACTATCAGAGGAACCTTGTCATTGGCTGACTATTCTTTCAGCTGTGCTAACTTGAATAATGGTCATAATCTGACTTGAAGATTTCAGATATTACATGCAGAAGGTTACATAAAGCAGTTGGCTTAAAAACATTTATATAGTATGTGGGTTCTGAGTTGGTCTTATAGTTCTATAAGTTCTGAGATGGTCTTATAAATTTGTTTCATTCAGTTTGGCAAGTAAGTTTAGGAAATACTGATGGTCTTTCTCTGGTTAATAAACAGCAGCAGTAGGGTTTGGAGGAAGCTGGTACGATGAATTGTTTTTGAAACTCCATCTGCTTGGTTTGTAGAATGCCGTGTTATGAAGTCGTCTTATTCCCGATCATCTGGTATGAGGTATTCTGGATCCAAAAGTCCAGGACCTTCACGTCGAAGCAAATCACCTGCCTCAGGTACAATTTCTAAGAAAAAGATAAACACATAAAATGCATGAAATCTAGGATTTGTTTAATGGATTGAAAAGGCTGTTGGCTGTATGTGAAATAAAAGTGCCATGGTTTGTTTCCCGAGGTAAAAATGCTTTCTCAGTTTCTCTCATAGGCATAATACTGATTTATAAAAAAATACACATTTATTTTTGAATCTTGAAAAGAAGTGTTGCTTCTATTTATTAACAGGCATACAAAGTTTCATTTTATGGAAACTGGAATATTTTGTATTAATTGTATGTTTGGGATATGCTTTCAGTGTGGTACTTGTTTTTTTTGAAGACTCAATTAAGTACAGGATGACTATGTGGTTAAATTGACACTCATAGAATACAGCCTTAAAACTTTTGAATTTGGAGTTTTTCCTATATAAGACAAATATTGTCAAAACATAGAATTTTGTTGTTTCAAGTAATTTTAGGAGCTGTTCTGGAATATTTTTGCCCATTAACAGAGATTTTTTTTTTCTTGTGCTTTCTGTAATTTTAAAGAAGGGTTCACATTGTGTATATGCCAGAAGTTTGACTGAACACCATAAATTCCAAACACTGAGCCTTTTATACAAATATGTAGAAGGGAGAAACTTGTTTTTCCTTTTTTAGTTCTGCATTTAATTTCTAAATATAATAAAACTTAATTGATTTCTTTCCCTCAGACCTGGAGAAGTAGCCCTGAAATCAAACCATTGAATATGTAAATATACAATGCTCTGTTTTGGTTGTAACTATATGCATGTAAGCTCCTGTGCGTGCATTCAAAACTGCAACATGTTTCATATTCTCATATCCATATCAATATTTATTTTGCTTAACTGATGCTGGTTAAAGTCATTTTCTGTCTGTGAGTTCTTTAAAAGTGGAATATTTATCATCTGTTTATAAAGTGTGAAAACTGCAAAGCTTCAAAGGAGGATTGTAGTAAGAACAAAGAAAAATAAAAATGTAGCATGAAGGGCGAGTTTCACCAATGATACGCATTTCATGCGATCCTGTTAACTCCAGCAAGATTGCATGGGAAATCTATCAACAATGTATTTTATGCAACGTATTTAGAGATCAGCACTGTCATTTCCTTACTTACTTCTACTTGGACACATCCATTGGTTAGGTTAATTTGAAAAGTTTATCCAAAGTGTCTGGTATTTATCCTTCTATTTACTTGCCATTTTTTCTCATGTAGTCTTTAGTTATCTTTATTTTCCCTTCTTTCTTTCATGCATGTTCAGAGCTGTTTTAATAACCTTTCTCCTTAATGTCTTTTTCCTTTGTGTCAAATATATGAGTACAGTAAAGAGGGGTGGCCACTACTCCAGTGCATATTCTTCAGCAAAATCCCCAGGTGAGCCATTACTGTTATGGCTATATATCACTAGTGTGTCTCCTTCCTTTCCATTCACCTTTCCTCTGCATCTGTCAATATTTTCAAGCTTGTAACACACATTTTGCATTTGGTGAGCCAGAGACTCTAGTGTTTTTGTTAAAGCAGATTTTTGAAAAAATATAAATGATGCTTAATAGTTGCTGGACATCTGTTAATGGCGTCAACATTAAATTTGTAAAGGTGTAATCTGACTACCAGTAGAGGAGCATTCTGAACAGCAACACATTTGTATTCTAAAGCGTACAATAACAGAAAATTTCAACCAGTGCAAAAAGAAAGGGGGAAGAGCTGACAAAAAAGTGGTGCAAAAACACGTGCCACAGTTTTTCATTTTATTTACAGTTTCTTACTCTCCTTTTTCTTTTTTTGTTATTTCAGCCTAAGTTCTAAAACTCTGAAAAACCTCTTTGCACTTTCAGTTTAAAACACTATAGCTCTTAGAACTAATGCGTGCTTTCACTAGCAAATAGGTTGTGACTTTGGACTACTAGAAGTTAACTATTTAAAAGGTATTCATAGTTTTTTCAGTTTTCAAGGTTCTGATATGGTAAAGAATTGTCACCTAGTATGTACTATTTGAAGAATAACAGAGAAGGTATTTTCCTGTATGTTCAGGCTACTACACGTGTAGTAAGAAACCTCAAAAGAACTTATAGTTAGAAAGTAGATAACAAAGGTAAGTTTTGCATATACAAAAAATAGCAAATAAATAGTAGCAAACAAGTTTAAGTGCTACAAACAAATACAGGTAGCTTATGAGTTTTGTGGTTTAAAAAAAAAAAACTGCTGTAAAAAAAAAATACAGCTTGAGTATTGTGACGGTGGGATGTTCTTTCCTAGAGAGTTATGAGAGAAAAGATGACGATGTTGACCAACCAGTCTCACAGGTACAGTTTAGTGGTTCTGTCAGTGCTTTAAAGGAGGATACTGACTTAGAAACAGATAAAGATGTCTTACATTATAACCCTCAATGGTCATACTCAGGAAATACTGACTTTTCAATGAGCTTTATAAAAAGAATTTGTGAATAAAGAAAATTTTTCTTTAGTAATAGATGGTCATTTGGAAGCAGATTCTTCAAGTGAAGTATCTCGTTTTTGTTCATGAACTTTACGGATCAGAATTTACCCAGTGGCTAGAGCAAATTGTATATGGCCTTTCAAGAGTAAGAAAACATAAGATAGCATTTGTTAGCCCTTTTCCTCTTCATACCTAAAATTCTTTATAAAACAATGAAGTGTTGATATGCCAAGTTTAAAGAAGGATATCTAAAACAAAATTATGAAAAATAGTGTATTTAGAGATCTTCAGGTGGGACATAGGCTCCTAAATTCCTTTAGCTTCTTAAAAAATGCACTTAAGCTGAAGTAACTTTGCTATTGCTCTTGCATGTAAAGCTTGTTAAAGTCAAAAGTAAAAATATCCTAAGAATACCAGATGCTTTTTACAGGAAAAAAAAAAAAAAAAAAAGAAATCTTAGTCATGTAACAGAGCCGGGAATGTAAATCGAACTTTTAAGATTTCAAGATAAACTTATTCTGTAGCTAAATGCTAATTAGTTGTATCTTAACATCACACTTGAGAGAGAGACAGTGGTGGACAACAGGGATTTGTGGAAGCTACAGTGCAGTCAGCCTGGCCTAGTGATAGATAGACTACCTATAGATAGACTGCTTAAGTAGAAAAGGTAGCATTTAGGAAGCATCTTCAGCACTCAGAGAATGTTGGGGTACTAGGTTAATAGATACCTATAAAATAAAGTAAATAATGTTCATTAAGAAGTGATGTATAACCTGTGATGGACTCCTGAGTGTATAAAGAATGTGTGTAGATGTAACCACATTTCATAATTTACTTTGTAGCTAAACTTCTATTTAACGAGTTCCTTTTTAAAATTTTTCTGACAAGAAAAAAAGATTCTTCAGCATGAATCAGCTGTGAAACCTTTTATCTCTTAAATTTCTGCCTAGTATTTTTCCTCTCCTAGGAAAAATGAGGTTCAGTTAGAGAGGAAATAATGCTACATCATACAGTGCATTGTGTGTGATGAACAGTATGTTATTTTCATAATGAAATTCATCAGTCTGTTTTTTAAGAAAAATACAGGGACTGACCTAAATGTTAGTCAAATTACTGCAGGTACAACAGGTGTTGTACCAGACCTCTCTGGAAAAGTGGACTTAAAATGAATGAATTCCTGAAGTCAAGAGGGAACATATTTAATGTTTTCATAAAATACTACAAACAGATACTTCAGCTTCTCGGAAATTCAGGAATTACCTACTAGCTTTTAGGTGTTGGTTTGTTTGTTATTTTTATTTTTTTAAACTAAATTATTTTTTTCTGAAATTCTAGTCAAACAGCTCATACTTCTTGCTTGCCTATTTTGCTTAAAACAAACAAACAAAAACTTAAAAAGGATAAAACAGTACAAAAAAAGAGTATGTGCTCTTAAATGTTCCACCTGAAAAGTAGTCATTGATACAAAAAGGAGAGGTGGGCTGTTCAACTTACGTGTTTATGAAGACTTTCTCTTTCCATAATTTATTGTGATATAAGACAATATTGTTATTGTTATTATAATAAAATATTGTGTTATATCACAATAAATTATGGAATTTAAAGAGATTATGGCTATTATTTGTCCAAAGCTCTTGCACTGGCAGCATACAAAGCAGGCTTTTTCAAACTCTGGAATGGCAATGTGTTAATCGTGTGTTGTCAAAACCCTGGTCTGATATCCAGCCAGGGTTTTGGGGGAGCAATTGTGTGTCACATGAGCATGTAATTTATTCCTAAATGCTGATGAGTCTGTATTGATCTTTGTATACAGACTTGAGTGATACCTCACAGAGGTATGTTGTGTGTAAAAGCAAGTTAGATGTTGTTTTTTGTTTTGTTTTGTTTTGTTTTCCTTTTACTCATTTTTTCTTTCATTTGTTTGCATTTATTGCTTTGGCCAGTTAATGGAACTCCAAGCAGTCAATTATCCACCCCAAAATCTACAAAGTCCTCCAGTTCTTCACCAACAAGCCCAGGCAGTTTTCGTGGACTCAAGGTAAGTAGTAGAACCATCAAAAATACTCGATTCCCTTATTAATGGAATGATGTATGACAGTAGCACTGAAGAATAGAAAGAGTTGTAATTCTATAGGGCAGCCTTGCTAGTGTGATTGTTGAGTTAAGGTGGAAAAGAGAGCTAAAGTAAGATTTTTGTATTTTGTCTTAGGCTTGCAGTATGAAACTCAGCTTAAGGAAGGTCAAAGATGGTGATGATGGCTTGAATATGTCAATCATCCTTCAAATTTTCCATTGTTTTGTAGACTGTAGAAATTCCCTGAGTAATTTGTATTTGCTTAGGCTATATAAATGTAGTATCCTCTTCTGGATACCTTATAGCATTGCAGCATTGATCAAAATTTCATCTGAAGCACCCCTCTTCATCCACAGCACACAATTTCACCACTTAATGCAATCTGAAAAGCATGTGAGGTGTTCCTTTGGGAGCATCCTGTTGTCTGGCAGCTTTTTCTCCGTGTTGCACCAAAAGAATTCTCTTCCTCTCCTACTTAAAAAATGGCAACATTTACAGTTCTCAGAGGCTGCTTTGAGCCTTTTTCTTGATAGAATAAAAGGAATGGTCTGGAGCACAGCAGAGCTGCATTGTGCAGCTGTCCTTTCAAGGAGAATTTTCTTATGAAATCATCAATTGCAGCCTTTGTGGAAACGCATTAGATGGTTCTTTCTCTGAGTATTCTGATCGAGTAATAGCTCCCACTGGTGAACACAACAGTTGTGAAGAGGCTGTACATTCTGCAGAAAACTGTTGTCTTAATTAAGGGACTGGCAAAAGGACGTGATTTGAATAGTATTTAGTTTGGGGTTTTGACATGCTAATTGTTGCCACGTCTTTGTCTGTTTTTCAAGGAGTATCACACTGGCTTCTGCCAGGCTTCTGTAATAATTTTGAGAAAAGATTTTGACTTACATGTTAGATTTCAATATATATTTTAGTTGTTTGGTTCATTGAAGCAATTTAGTGTTGATGATCTGTACCATTCTGTAGCTACTCTTTCTCCAAAGCTACATGGATTGGTCTCTCTCTTTTAAAGCATTTTTCAAGAGCAGTAATAGTTCAGACATTGAAAATTATAACTCTGGTCTTAAAATTTGTCTGGATAGCTGTCATATAAAATTTACGCTAAGCTTGTCAGTGCTATATTTAACACATACTCTTTTTTTCTTTCTTCAGTGAAACTACAAGTTTAGAAACTAGATAGTTTGGTTCATTTTTTTTCCTGCACTGTCTAGTCTGCTTTTAGCAGATTAAGGCTCCATTAATAAGCAGATAATTATGTTAGTAACAAGCAATTTTCAGCAAAGCGGACATGTCCCATTTCCCCTTCACTGTCAACCTCACAGAAGTAAGCTGTTGTACACTTTCATTTTGGAATTCCATTGGTGCTGGGTATTAATGGGTTTTTGTGTCAAATAACTCATTCCTCTATGGCCTAAGAAAATGACAAAAACTAATGAATCATCTTAGGCCTGAAGTAGTGGGTACCTCTTGTTTTATCCCATTGGGGTGCATCTTTTCAGTAGGAGGATCCCAGCTGCGCTCCTGAGACTAAAGACAGAGAAAGTTAGCTGGTGAATCTCAGGATAAATTCCAAAAGGATGAAGTGCACCACACAGTTTCTTGCCTAGAATATAAAGTTCTAGAGGTAATATTTTTGTATTACTTAATCAACATAAAACCAGTAACATGGAAAGCATAGCTTTATGCAAAACCAGATTGTTTTAAGAAAACCTTTATTATTTTTGTAGGATTGATTTCGGTCGTTCTATTGAGAAAAATAAGGAAAGCAGAGATCAAGTTTAATTTTTTGAGATGATTGCCTTACTCTATTGTTAAAAAATTCCTTGTTGCTAAGACTGCATCACTGCACAGACAAGTAGTCTGTCTTCCTGTACTTATTTAAAGAAGGTGCCATGACTGCAGTTGAATGAAAAAGTAGATATAAATAAATAGTGTGGCAGACAGTGAAGGAATAAAGTATATTTCTGAGATTTTTGGCTTTGAAAATGCGGTATTATGGCTGTCTTGTTGTTTAGAAAGCATGCATGTTTATTTTTGTAGAGCATGAAACAGGAAGACTTAGAAAAATGTTAAAAATACAATTTTATGTGAGCTTGAGTTAGCAAGAAAAAGGAAGAAATCCCGTAGAGAGCAGGCCACCAGAACAGCTACGCACAAACTGTCCTTTATAAACTATGTTGCTTGGAAAGACAGAGCAAAATGAAATATATGTCTATAGATTAGAAGCTGGCTAAGTTGTTTGAAGATCAGCCTAGATGCGGGTGATAATGCTAGGTATCAAGGCAGTAAACTTATAAAGAATACTGGTTGTTACAGCAATTTTTGTCTCAGTCTCAGGCATCACATCTTACGTCATATTCTCTGCATGCCACTTTTCCTTTAAAGTAAAATCTTTTCAGTCCCCAAGGATTCCTTCTGCTTTACAGCACTTTATCAGAAGTGGTATGCTCAGGCACAGATCTCCTTGCAGGAAATAGTTCTGATGAACAGCCTATCTTTTAAGAGAATGGCTTTTCTTCTGCCTCTTTTTCATTCTCCTGCTAGAGTACTCTTGTGCTATTAATTGTTCAATTCATACAGTATGCCAATGCAACATCCCAGTTTTGCAGAAGTGTTTAAAAAAATTGTACTGGAGTCTGAGGTGACATTGAGGTCCTAGGAATTTATGCTATGTTTGCAGAATAATAAAAACTACAGAATTTCCCCACAACCCCAAATAAATGCCTTTATTCTAGTAAGTGAAAAATATGAATGTTGTCATTTGAGTACAGATGAGTAAAATAAATAAGGGTACTCATTAAAGAAGCCCACACAGTTGTGTGCTACTATGTGTTTTTGTTATTGTTTATTTTTAACCTCGCAATGTTAGCCCATTACTAAGCATTTGACTTTGCAGAGAGTTTGTTTCAAGGTAAGGATTCAGATATAAAAGGTAACAGGTAAGGGCATGAAGTAAATGACTGCTCTGTATGATAAGCTTTTTTGAGCTAATGTGCTGAGCTTTTTATCTTTCTATTAGCTTTTCTGTGGAGATTAAAAATTGTTCATGGATTAAGAAATAAAGATAATACTGCATTAGTTGGCACGGGACAAATGACTGAGGTGTCCTTTTTCTGTTCTGTAGACAGGTGACAGTTGAATGCTTTAGCGCTTTTATTTGGTTCTGTGTGTTTAAAGACCCAGCTTTGTAATGCCATTAGGGGTTACTGAGCATGATTTATACCATAAAAATGATCAGTTACTGGATTAAGTATGAGATTTTGAAAAGTGGTGTTACAATATTGTCATGCTTACTTGCATGCATTTTGTTGTTCCCTCTTGAAAATAAGTACCATGAAGTCTTGTCATCTCTTTTTAAAGAAATAAAATTGTACTAATAAAGAAGTGTTACAGTTAAGGCATTTCTTAGAAACCCAATGCTAAATAGTAGCGTTTGCATTTGTCTCAGTATTATTTTTTTGACTGATTGACCAAATGACCAAAACAAAAGGATATTAAAACCCGATTCAACAAATACCATAAGCACTTGCTTAACTTTAAGCTATTGAGTAGTCCTGTTTACTTGAGACGGTTAATGTACTTGAAGTTAAACATGTGCTTAAGTGATTTGAGAGATTAGTACCTTACCTTCATCAAGGCTTTAATCTTCAGTATTGTACACGTGTCTATCTGTTAGCAATTGCATATTAAGAATATTTACAAGGAATTATCCAACCTAGGCAACAGCGGTTCTCAGAGGAATTCTTTACCTGTTGCTTTTGGTGAAGTTACAATCCACCATCCTTCTCGCTCATAGAGCGGATGAAAAGAGTTGGATAATCTCTGCTGGAAAGGAAACTGATGTTTTGCACTCAGCATTAAGTCCTCTCACCTCTGTCTGGGGTTCACTAAAAGCTTTACATTATGTGACAAAACTCAAAATCTCTTTAGGAGAAAGGGTAAATCTTGGCATGATTCTTCAGTGTTTCCAGAACAAAATGCATGACGTAATAGGTATGTAATACCATGTACGCTCAAATTAATGCTAGCAAAATCACTAAACGTTAATTGGCTTTTTTATTGTTACAAGTATAGCTCCTTGATATAGGTGGGGAACTAGTGATGTTGAGTTTCACTTAAAAATTAAGAAGTTCTTGTATATAGTTTGTCTTAGAGATTTTGTTAGTATTGAGCGTTACAATAAATACCAACAATATCTAGCTAGAAATACTAATTATATGAATATGATTTCATTTGTTTCAAAATATCCTGTTGCCCTTTTTTACCACAGCTTTTCACAGATGAGTTACAGTGAAACGGTGAAAGTGTTCCCAGATTTCAGAGAATGCTTCTACAAATAGTTATTTCACAATTTCACTAAAATATTTGTACTCTACAATTAGATTCATCAGCAATTTTAATTCTTTCATGAAGACAGAAAAAGCTTCTTTGAGAATACCAAGTTTTTCTAAAACTTTTCTCAAGGCTTGAGAGTTGACATTCTCTTTTTAACTGTCAGTTGAAAGACTACCTCAGTAATGCCAGATCAGAACTTGAGAAAAAGTTAACAATATTAGACTTTTGCTCAGTTTGGACAGATAGACTTGGAGGATATTTCAGGACCTTGAAATATTAGTAATAATATTTGTGTATTTCTGACTGGAATTTTCTAAACAGAAGGTTGTGGGTGCGTGTACACATGTACCACACAGATCTGTTGGTTTAGCACATTATGAATGTTCTGGGGGACAAAGGCATTAGTCCCCCAGACATTTAGTGTATATCAGACATAGCATGAGGCTGTTGAACAACCATAAGAGGTTTGACTGAGGTCAAGGAAGCACTTGCATATACACATACAGGACTTTCGTAGACTTAGCAATATCATGGCAAAAAGTCCTCCGTTTCTATCCAGACAAGCAAAATAGACCTTTAGGTGGAAAGCTGTAACATTACAGAAAAACATGCTCTAGAAGGCACCATTCAATATAGTTGCAAGAAGCTGCCCATTCAATATGTAAAAATGCCCCAAACATTTCCACAAATACCTGTCACGGACAATTACTCTACCACTGAGTGTAAAGGTTTGTCAAATAAGGTACCATTCTACTTCAAGAGAATATGGGTTTATCCCATGTGTACTCTTTCTCAGACTCTTGTGAGATAAAAAAAATAAAATCCCACCAGATGTATGGTTATATGGGTTTACTTTCTTATCTCCCTCTACCTTTCCATTTTAAATACAAACACTAGATTTACATTTTTTCTGATGTATGGAACTGTTTTGACTCAAAAAACTTATTAAAAGTCATCTGTACTGGACCAGTAGATGCAGCTTAATTATAATGAAGACTGACAAGCTGCTGTTTTTTTCACTCCTAAATCATAGACTCAAATTCCAAAACAGATCTTAAGGGACCCCGGCCAGTCCTTCTTTGCTACTTATCCATCACTTTACATTTGCATACTCATTTCAGTTCATGCTCTTGGACTCTGTGGTGGTTTAAAGGCTTTTATAGGTTTTGTTTGATCTTTTTTTGTTCTTTTGATTTCTTATCATTAACTTAAAAGTAGAGAACCTGATATAATATCTGGCAGGATGCAGCTGTCTGGCACCAATAGACACAGAATACTTCATATGTCTAAAAAAAAAAAAAAAAATCCTACATTGCTTTAATTAGTATTTATCTGTTACATATTAGAAATAGGTGTTCTACTGTGAATGGAGTAATAATGTTGTTTAGGGGGTCATTAAACAGGAGAATTCTGTGGACAGGATTGAATATTAGTCATACAGAATTTAGACTTTCTCTGTAGAAAAAATTTTTTGTTGTTGTTTTTTAACCATGTTAGCATTCAAACTTCTTAAAGTATAAATTATATTTTAAGTCAAATTATATATCTGGACAGCATGCTAGAAATTTTTTCTATAAAATAATTTCATTCCTTTAAATAGGTTTAAAGACAGTTTTGCCTACTTGGATACCAGAACTAGTTTGAATAATACAGAATTTTTAACAGATTGGATATTAGCAGAAATGAAAGGGAGAATGCTAAATGCCAGTTGGTTAATTAACATCAAGGCACAGTAGCCATGTTAGGTACTAGAGTAGGTGTATTATATTCATGGATATGACAAAAATAGTGTGAGTGTTTCTGAGAAAACCGTGTGTCATATTGGTAAACCTGGTGACATGAGCCATAGTCAGTCTATATAAAATAGTGTAGAGTATAAAGAAATATATTGAACATTTTTGTGAATCTGAAAAAAATGTTTCCACAGAAAAGTCATCTCAGTGTATTTCTTTGTGGAAAAACAAAACATAAAAATACAATAGGGCAGGTTTGCTTGCAACCTTTTATAGCATACTTAATTACTCTGTAAATTGATTTGCAACTAGTTTTGGAAACAGTGTTCACTGAGACATTATCAGTGTCTGTAGCAATTGTATTGCATTGTGCGTTTGGTTCTGGCTGTACTGTTGAAACAAATTACTTGTGGGGAGACGATCTGAGGGAAGTAAAGGCAATAACTGATATGTCTTGTATTGCATAATGCATAATTAATAATAAACACCACACGAGCGACTATCAGCATTAGGTGTACATGGCCAGTAGCATCCCCATTCAGAGGTGACTGGCTTATTTTGAAAAGATGTTGCTGCTCTGAATTCCTGCGTGAGCTTTTGTAAACAAGAAGTCAAATTCTGCCTCAGGTCTGAGTTTTCTAGGATTTGCATATGAGTGAGAGGGTAGATTTAAGTCCTGTGCACTCTGAATTTATCATGTGTAAGGGAAGCAGTATTGAAAGAGAGCAGTAGTGTTGTGTGGACGGGAAGAGAGGAGAAGGAATTGTTTCCAAGTCTAATCTGCAGTGGGATCATCGATTTCATCCATATTCACTAGTATAGTATCAAAGCAGCGTGTATCCTCTTCTCATCTCCTTGCTAGTTTGGGGATGACTAGTGAACCAGTCAAGTGGGATACCAACAGTGGAAGATACTCCAAATACGACATGTCTGGCTACTTAAATGATTAGAAATTACTTTCTTAATAATATGTACTTAATTATGTGTCACTTGTTACCGGTTCTGACCTCTTCCCAACCTTTTCTAGCTAATCAAGCACCTCACAGACATCTTGAGAATTTATTTCTACTGTGCTGTGTCACTGTGCTATGTCACTGGTATGGTTTTGCTGATGAGAAACTGAGACCCTCAGACCCAAAGCTTCCAAATTACATATATTGTGGGTTTGCTCTTATCTCTAGAGCCATGAGGTAAATTATTGGCAGAGCTAAAGTTAAACCTTCTGTTTCAGGTTCTGATCCAGCACCTCTGCCACAACAGTAGCAATAAATTTTTTCCTTTTCCTATCTGTCTTAACTTTTTGCCTGCTCCTATTTGCTTCCTTCTTCTAAACACTGTGGCCAGAAGGAATGTGCCCAGTCACATTCTAACCTGATTACAAGGATGAAGGAAGTTGGAAATGTGGGCTAGGTATTCGCTTGTATTGTCACTCACTCAAAACCCAGAATAGTCATAAGCAAAAGTATTAGTAATCTAATGCTTTGCAGTGATCTCTTCCATTTTCCCTGCTTCATGCTTGAAAAAGATGTGACTGACAGGTTGAGAAACTGACTCATAAATGTGCATCACTGTCTTTTAACCCAGTTGTCCTTGCTCCTGGTCCTTTTTGAACAAATAGATTGTTTACAAGTACAGCTACATAAACATAGCCTGGTTTATGTTTTTAGCAATGAGCAGTAGTAGTAGTAGTAGCTGCCTGGTTGCTGTTTGTTCCTACTTCTTTGCCAAAGATGCAAACAATGCTGGTAAACAGCATTGTTTTAGAGGTTCTGCAACATTACATTGTACAGCTTCTAGTTACTGTACCTTTAGCTGATCTGGCAGCTCAGCTGCCACTAGAAACTTAAGCATTCATTAGCATTTCATGAGCCTTTAGACAATATCCCTATCTGTCAATTCATTTCTTTCATTGACAATAGTGTTAATGATTTAAAATATTCTGCAGTGTAACCAGACAATGTCAGCTAAAATGGGAAATGCTGCATTTGCATTCCCGGTATCATGCAAAGCCATTTCCACAGACACTGAGCTTAAGGCAGAGAAGCATTTTAATCCTTGATGTGGTGAGCAGGGAGAACTATTATAATAGCCCATGAAGAAAACAAGGTATTGGAACTTAACAGAACAGCAAGAAATGCTACATAGAGAAGTACATTTATAGTGTAAAATATATTTAATAAAATTTATTAAATTACTAAACTACACTTAACTGTAATGGGAGAGCTTATAAAAACAGTGGTGCATAGAATAGATCCAGTATGTTTTAGTGTTCATTGCATTGATTCATATGCCTCCACTCCTTTTAAAAATAAAAAGCGATTGTTGTGTATATCCCTTGGCAGTATGACAGGACAACTTTGAGTAGAATTGCGAAGATTCAGATTGAGCACCAGTTAAGTTCTTAGTGCAGCAAAAGCAATTTTCTTCGGACTTCATCCTTCAAAATCAGTTAAATACATGTTTTTTTACACAGACACCTAACGTGAAGTTCTTGTAGATCCTTGAGTCTTTAAATCCATAATAACCTAAAGTACAAACTGCTAAATTATCAGGCAAATCTGACTATCGTACATGTTCTAGGACACCAATACCAAAATTCTGTACTTTAAATGGCCATGCAAGCATTCTACACCAACTTCCTAGTGTGCTTCAGTGCTAATCTGAAGAGGGCATGGACATGACACTGCCATCTGTGATGTAGATGTGGTAGAATACAGCACGAGACTGCGTGCTTGTGGCACTGGCCACTCAGTGGTTGGCTGGAGATGGCTGCTTCTGGGTTTGAATCTATGGCTTATATGAAAATGTATTTTAACCAGCATGCAGTGTATTGTAATGATCTTGTTCCACAGAATGAGGAGGGATATATTTGTGCAGTGGGAGGAAATTTTCTTTGCTGTTTATAGGCTTGCTGAAATGTGTTCGACTATTTACGTAAACAGGAATATCAAGGTTGCATCTCAAGTTGGTGAAAGTGTCACCAATATATTATATTGAAGATGAACTGTGAGAAAGCAAGAGTAAAAATAAGATGGAAGTGGAAAAGTAAACTGACTCTGTATAGGTGTTTTTAGGGTTTTTGTAAATTTGTAAATTTGCTGGTTTTTTTCTCTAAATTTCTCTGTCTCCTTGCAATTACTTTACCATGAAAAATAACAAGATCTTAACTTTCATAGATCCCTCCACATGGTGGATCTTCTTCCAATGTGAATGGTATACCTGAATCACTCCGTTGCCAGAGTCCTGAAGGTAAGACACCAATGATTACTTCCCTTGCAAATTTTTTTCTCTAAGTAACAGTTGGTTCAGCAATGTCAGGTGGTTTCCAGTGTCTTCAAATCACTTTTTGTTCTGAGATACCTGATACCCTATTATCAGCCAATCAGAAAAATTGTTAATTGCATTTACTACATCAAGGCTATAAAGCTAGAAAATAAATTTTATTCTTTTTTGTCAAATAGTAGTATATTACCGGATCCTCCTTTTCAGAATTTGAATGATTTTGAATGTGACTTGGGCATCACCAGAAGTGTGTTGCGGCTGGTTTGAGAGTGAGGTTCTCTTCATAACTGCATGTGGTGCTTCAGGTAGAATCACTAGGCCTGTCAGCTGACCCTAGCTAAACTTAACCTTTAGTTCCTTAGCTCTTTAAATCAATGTTACTTTTTAAAAATTTTATTGTAAAGACTTTTTTAATTTAAAAATACTAAAATAAGCAGCTATCAAACTTGCATTTTGGATGTTTCAGCAACAACTAAGTGAAACTGAAGAAGTTCAACAGATAAAACAAAACTTTTGGTGCTTTCTAAAAATGATCAAAGACTTGGTGTCTCTGAATAACTATTTAATTCCCCTTATTGCTGATTTTTTTTTTTTTTTGTTGGCATCATCTTTCATGGAATAAACAATGTAGGATGTAGGAATCACATTTCCTATTTGTTAATGGAGGTCTTATTGCCACATTAAAAGAAACAAACAAAAGTGTAGCAGATGATTTCATCATGGCAATGGTAGAGCCTGGTTTATTCTAAAAAAAAAAAAAAAAAAAAAGGAAAAAATAATTGGACTAGATTATGCTCTTTATTAAATAAAGAAAAAGTTGTTTTTACTTGCCATTTTGTTTATGTGCTTTGTAGATGAATCTTATTTGCATTTTTGCTTTCAGTATGCAAAAATATCAAAAAGATACTTCAAAAAAAGTATTTTGTGTTCAGAAAATATTCTGTGTTCCTTACTTTTAAAGTATATCCACACACAAAGTAATATTTGATTTGTGTTCAAAGGTCAGATAACTCTGATTAGCCTTATCTTGTTCATTGTTATGTTCATTGTTATGTCTTATAAGATAAAAACAAGAGAATAAGCTGTGAGGAAAACAGCTTACTTTTCACTTCTGTTTTGTGTTTATGAATTCTTGTTCTGTATCTGCCTATAGGGGATACATTACATCCTGCTGACACCTCTCTTCCTTCATTACTGACCTTGCTTTTTTGCAGGTGTGAATGGAAACAAGTGCTCAGTGTCATCCACCATTCTAGAGAAGTATAAAGTTGGAAAGGTGATCGGTGATGGCAATTTTGCTGTTGTGAAGGAGTGCATAGAACGGTGAGTAAGGAAAATGTTCAGTAATGCCGTTTATTTTACTGGATAAAGCTATGTGTTACCATAATTGCATGGAAAATGTGATGAGTTAAATACAAAGAGCAGTTGCAAAGATATGCCTATGCTTCAGGAGAGCTAGACATAGCACAACACACAGAGCTCTCTGTGTATTATTCCAGCAAAGGAATATGAGAGCAGCAGTGGAACATGGCTTTTTAATCCCCCAAATTAAGGAGGTATTACCTTCTAATGGAAGCTCTTAAGGAAAACCCTACAGATCTTCAAGAAACTCCCTCACACCACAGGTAAGGAGGGCTGTTGTGGCTGGCAGGAAATTTTATGTGGAATCTAAGCAGTCTTCCAGAGCACCTCAGCTCTGCCTCAGCAGTTCTGCTGCTGTGAGATCCTACTGCCTGCTGCCTAAATCATTTTTCACAGCTTTAGCTAATACTGTGAGCAAAGTATTTTTAAAGGCATACAGTCGGTGGCAGTTAGCCTGTGCTATTGACTCCCTTTTGCTTGCTTGTTCAGTGAGGTAGTGCAGTGAGGAGGAGCCAGGGACTGAAATCAGTCTTTCAGTATTCCAGACTGAAATATTCTTGTGCATGAGATCTCTTGGGGTAGGCAGGATACCTTTACAGACCTGTGCTGTGTTACTGCTCTTCCCCTGCAAGCTTTGTGTCACACTTTGCTGCTGGTGTAAACATAGCAGATGATGTGACTGTCACTTTCTCAGTTTATGTTTTAGAACCACCTTCTGCTATCTTCATCACTCCGAGAGTTATGTCAGCTTCTTAAATATTATGAGGAATCTCCAACTTGACTACAACTACCAGGCAAATTCAGCAAATGTCTGTAAAAAACAGAGAAGTTACAGGAACAGTTTCTATTATTTGATCTCTGTCTGATGGTTTTCTTTAAAAGAACCATAATTATGAATGGAAACAACTCATTCCAGTCTAGCAGATGATAGTTTCATATACAGATACTCTTTCCGAGTCATCCAAATGAGCCAAAAGGGTTAGGCAGTAAGTCTGAACATGCTGAACATAGGTGTATGGGTCTTACAATCCCTAACATTATGCATCCATTACTGTTTTTCCTCAAGAGAAAAGTTTCTTGATATTGTATTTGATTTATTTCTCTCCATTACTGAGGATAATATTGGCAGATGATATGCAACACAAATCTAACACTTTCTTCTGGTTTATAGCAACAAATGATCATTATTTTTAATACTTTTTAAAGAAGGTGATATACTAGCATCCAAGGTTTATATACTAAACCTTGTAGCAGTTTCTAGAGATACTAGCTGATAGTAGCAGTTAGTAGCAGTTTCTAGAGATACTAGCTGATTACAGTACTGATAAAGAAAAAAAAAGTGACTAACAGTGATCTGAGTATGCTACAGGTACTGTTCCAAACAAGTTCCTACTGCACGTGCAGGTTTAAGATAATGCTTCTCATCAGTGTTAACATCTAGATTCCATGGTCTTAATGTTTCTTTTTTTGGAATGGTTTCTACCAAGAAACTGTGGTTCCTGACAAGTGGTACCACATCAAAGTAGAATCATTTCCCTAGTGCATTAAGAACTGCAGGTCTGTTGCAAAAATTGTGAGAAGGCAGTATAGCCAGCTGTGTTGAAAATGGATTTCTGTCCATTGTGTCTTGCAAGATGCTACACATAAGAGGCTTGAGAGAAACTAAGTGAATGATACTTCACAGTGTCTTCCCACACACTGTAAGGCTGGCCACAAATCCTTTGTTATCCACAGAGTGAACAACATTCATAAAAGATATCAGGTTAAATGCATAAGATAACATAAGCTAATATTTTTAGGAATAAGTGCTGTGCATTTTGGAAATCGCATAAGTTCCACTGAAAATGGGACATGGGCTGCTAAGTCACTTAGGTTTCTAAATGTCATCCGTGCTTTTTGGAATGAGAAGACTGGAGTAGAAACACAACCTTCCAATTATTTAAAAACATAAAAAGTAAAATTTAAACTTAAAGACCTAGTTTTGTATATGATCCCACCTTTGTATTTAGCAAAGCATTATTAAATTAATCTTATATGAAACAAATATACTGCAATTGTTGCTAACAATAATGAGAGGAAATGCCAACTATAGTTTATCGTTTTTAATTCTTTTTAATCACTATATTTAATTTCTCATAGTGCTGTGCTTGGAAGCCTCAGTTGTAAAGCCAGGATCTTATTATATCAGCTGTTCTACAAAAAGAATTAAATGGTCTTTTTTGCAAAGGGTGCCTATATGTCTATATATGAAGACATGAGTCAACAGATGGATACTGACAGCTAAATAGGAGAATGCCAGAAACCTGTCAGACAATACTGGTCAATATGATAGGCAGTGATATCAGCAGACAAATTGTGTCGCTGATATCCTTTTTTTTCTTAGGTGTTATCATAAAGGACATTTGCAGAAGGGATTTGAAATTGGTTAATGAATTGGCTTTGTGAATGTTAACTCCTCTTTCTACACAGTGTAAATGCTGAAGGTTTCCTAAGTGGGTTTTGCCGATCAGTTGTTTGCAGACTTTCAGATAATGCACTTAATTTAGTCTAACATAAATTGTGGTTTTGAATTATACACTGTATTCATAGTAGATTTTACATCAGGTCTATAAGAGGATAGCATTTCACAGATACCACTTAGATAGCACTTCTATCTAAATACTGGATCAGGTTGTAACTATGACAACCTAGCAGATACAGCTGCACTGTGAGAGCAGAAATTCTGTACTGCATCTTTTCAATAATGGATAATTAACTCTGTTCCTTTTTTGTGAAGTAGTCATTTTGATTAGCTGTATCTAATGCAAAAAAGTAGAGTGAGAATTAAACTGTAAGCTTTTAAAAGTACCTGATTTTTCCTTTTGTTATTGCCTCCATTATTTATTTATTTACCATACAGGTTAGTGCTGTTCTGAGGGACATTGGAGTCTCTTGGTACTAATACAAAACAATATTGTAGCAATAGGACATTTTCATTTCATTTTATGAATTATATTTTATATATCATCTTTTTTTTTTTTTTTTTTTAAAAAAGTCATTCACTTCTGCTTCTTTCTCATTTTTCCCCTTCTGATGAAATGTAGAACATTTCTGTTGCTTAAAGGGGCAAAAAGCAAAATAGAGCTCCTTCTTTCTGGGAGAGTATTTACTGAAAATAGTCATCCTTTTTACTTTGTATATAACCACCACCTCAAATGTCCTGTCACTTTAGATACTTGCTATAGAGTTCCATAGAATGATGAATAAAAATAGAGAACGAATTAAATACAAAAGGACAAAATTAGCACCCAATAAATCCAGCAGGATTTTAGACTAGTCTGTAATAAACATAAGGCCTTAGCTCTACTGAATCCTATTGAATTTTTCCAGTAGGGTATCAGTTTTTCTTCTGCTCACTTACACATAAACATGCATGATTTTATCTTTAAAGCCTAGCAGTTGAATAAAGCTAAGTGGAAGGCTTAAGACAAATTTTGCATGTTGCATTAAAGAAGTGAGAGAGAGAGTTGTGCTAGGTCACAGAAGAATGAATTGCAGCTGGAGCCTGGGATTAATACACAAAGTGAGCCAGGTTGTGGTAGTCAGGGAAACAGCAGGCACAAATGTTGCTGAGAAATGAAAAACAAAATCAAGTCCACTCGGTGAATTTTCTGTCAGCAATCTCCATGGGTCAAGGCATTAAAATCTATAATATATATATATTCTTATATTGAGATAATACCAAGTAATGTTGACTGGTTTCTGATTAACTGTTCTCATATTTTTCTTGCTAGATCTACAGGAAAGGAGTTTGCGCTGAAGATCATCGACAAGGCTAAATGCTGTGGAAAGGTACCGTACAACAATTTACATGCATAAGAATAATAGCAGAAACAGCACAGGCAGCTGCTCATTAGTCATAAATGGTGGGTGTGTTTGGGTTTTCTGACTGTCTGTTTGATAGGGTGATGATATTCCATCCAAGAAGCAAAGTAGTGAGTGTTAGTCTGCTAGATTATAGAGTAAAAAAAAAAAAAAAAAAAAAAAAAAAAAAGCAAACCACCAAATTGTCCTCATAGTTATTAAACTAACAGAGAAAATACCAATATTTGTCCAAAGTGAAATCAGAAAATAAATTGATGAAATATAGCTTGATGATTTTGATCTGTAAAACATGAGAGGAAATTTGCTGCTATATCTGTATTTATATATTTCCCTTCCCTCTCTGTCTCTTACTTTTATCTTTTTACAGCTAAACATACTCCTTTTATATACAGTATATATATTTGGAAAGAATTTTTCTCAACCATTTCTTTCTGTTTATTAGTTTCACATCCTTTAGAACAAAGAACTCTTAACAAGAGAACTCACTATGTATTAATGAATCTTTAAGACATTAAAAAAAGACAAAAGTTGTCTCTGCAACAGAAGAGCATGTTACATAATGGAAGTAGGTATCCTAGAGTTTCACGTACCTCCTCACAAGCACAGGGATTTTTAAAACAAGGAAAAAATCAACAACAGGTAAAACACAATCAAGTATGTAGACTATGTGTTGGAACAAATAACAGAAACATAAAATACTTTTGTTTTAACTGCTTTGCCTGTGAACGATATACCTTAAAGTGCTCAAGAGCACTTTGTTTTTTACTCAAATGGATAGTTTAGCATTAGCCAAAATAAAACTTGGGGCACAGTATTAATTAACAATCAAGTTCTGGATTAAAGACTCTGAGAGCAGGACATGAATTCAATTCTCCTAAGGTTTCTAAAAAGACAGTCTTTTTTGATGCAAATACTTTATTTTGTAGGTAAATGACCACACTGAAATGATTCTGGAGTTAACTTTGCAACCAAGTCAGACTTTTAATTCAATGGTACCCTTTTTGTCAATTACATAGAGTGTTTACAGTACAATTCAGAGACACAGATGCTAGAAGTGACCTTTTAGGATGATGTTTTAAGTCTGTGTGATGTTCTTTGTATGGTAAGGAGCTGCACATTACTGTATACTGACTGTATACTAGCATTACTTGCTGTGATGACTTGCTCTGGACCTCTGCTCAGAGGTGCTGTAACAAAAATGGTCTAAAATCTGTGCAGATTTTAAGCTGTGTATTAGGTAGTAGTAGATGAATGTTCCTACCTCCCCCCCCCCACCCCATCACTTTTTCTCATATTCTCTAAGTTTATTTAAGGGAGAATTTAGAAAGGAATCTTTAAAATGTATAACCACAAGAAAAACAGTGCTAGAATTGCCTTTCTGAGGTTTACATGTTGGCGTTTCTTCGGCTGTTGGAAGGATGAGCTAGTGTGGTTTACTGCGAAAGAAAACTTCTGGGTGATTTTTACTGCTTGCAGTTTCAGATGTTTCTATTACTTGTCTGAGTCAGCCTCTCACATACCATAAATTGGAATGGTCCAGAGACAGACATGCAGTAGATTTTAGACGTTTTTTCTAGTTAGCATTCTTGCCACTTTAAAACAAACAAAAAGGAACAAAAGAAGAATAACCTATGGATGTATATACCTGTCTGTTTTGAAAGGACCAGTATCTGTATAGCTGCTTACGGGTGTGTGTGTGTAAACAGAGGACTGTGATTAAGAAGATGTTGATAGCTGTTAGGGCAGTGCCAGAACTGTCGAGAAAGAATTTCAACAAATAAAATACTTAAATTTTGCTACAACTTCGTCCTTCCTCACCCTCTCTCACATGCCAAGATAAGCCCTATCTTAAAAACAACAATCTGAACCAAATATGCATGACTTGTAAGCTGGTCACTGCTCTCTAGCAATTTATGTTAGATGTCTTAAAATTTGAATCCAGTTGACTACAAGCAGACTAGATGTTAATTATACATTAATTTATCTGTAAATAAAGCATATGAATGTATACTAAAATCTATACTGTACTATCCAGGAGAATGTTATAATAAGCTTTAGTGTTATTTTTATAAATTACAAAATTTGACAAAACCATTGGTGTGGTTGAAAATAAGTAACTATACGCTAGTGAGCATGTTGAAGACAGGCATCAAAACAGTAGCTCAGCAACATTTTGGAGTCTTTTAAATGAACATTACTAGTAGTGATTTTAAATAAAGATCACTTATGCTTTGGTTTTTATTTAAAACAATTAACAATTGAGTCAAGTTAAATGAAGAAGGTGTAGGTGAAGCATAGTGTCTCAGTCAGAATTAATGGATATAATAAATTGAGTATGTTACCTGTTCCTTAGGTAGGAAAATCTATAATAAGATTCTAGGTTTTGTTTGGACTATTAACACTAGTTTTGAATTTACAGGCTTTCATCCATAAGGCTTAGTATGCTGTGGCTGTTCACTTTTGTCTGATGATGAAATTCAGCATTGTGTTTAACAAAATTGCTTCATGTTTGTTTATGTTTTGTTTTGTGTTTTTCTCCAGAGCACGTTTGCTTGGAGCAGACATATGTTTGTTCAGAATGACAATTGATGCTCTTTCAAATTGAATTTCAAAGGTGTGACTGTTGAACCCATATATGCCGCACCATACTCACCAAATGAGATGCACACATGGCATGTGGTTTCTGAGTTACATAGCCACATAAAGCTTTGGCAAGACCACTATAAATAACCCTGGAAATAGAAGTTAAAGTAGCATAAGATCTTTAATCACTGCTTATGCACAGTGGATCACATCTACTTCTCGTGCTCTGCTCACAAATGCATGAATTGCATGCTACTAATCAGTGCGTTAAACATGAATAAGTTCAAACTTGGTGAGATGATTTGATATCTGCCAAAGTAAAGGAAATTTCTGTTTTAAGCAGGCATTGTTACTTAAAGGGAACCCTAAATGCAGTATCTGTATTTCAATGTTTATAACAAAAAATGCAAATCGTTCTTCCATTGAAAGGAGCATGTAGATTTCTTCAATCTCCAGTGTTAACCAAGTGCTAAGATGTATTGGAGAACAAAACATTCTGAAACTAGTTGTTCTTGAAACTCATTACTTTCTCAGAAGTATAAGGAAGGGGAAATTAAACTCAATCTGTGTGCTGTTAAGCTGTTGGAGCCACACTGACTTAACTGAGCAGGTACCTATTTTGCAGATTGTAAATCTGAACATACATATAAAATGAACTGAAATCTATAACCAAACCAGTTATCATATTTTTCACATATATAATCCATGTCCTTTTTATAGTGCCAGTCCTTGAAATTAAATCCTAGGTAATCTGTCCTTGAGTAACCTACGCTAAATGAGAGGTGAGAGCTGGAGTGGATCAAGAACATGTTAACTATTGCTTGGGGTGGCAGGCTACAATGATCCAGGTTCACTGAGGTTCTGAGCCTCTTAATACACACATGAGGACTACAACCTGCACTTCCCAAACTGCTGTCATGTTCCGGGGTCTTTTTTTGGTGATAATCCATGGGTTATATGTTTGAAATATGGTATTTTAAATTAACTGATGATGTACAGTTGGGCTAAAATACAAATTAAAATCCAGCAGCAGAGAGTTATCTCTTTACTACATAAATGAAATATCAAAATGAGTGCTCACTGAAGAGCTTATCAAAGGAAAAGGAAATTGGGCATGTTGTGTCTATTCATATAAACCTCTCTACTCTTTTACTGACCAGGAACATCTGATTGAAAATGAAGTATCTATTCTGCGTCAAGTGAAGCATCCAAATATCATTATGCTGATAGAAGAAATGGACACCCCAACAGAACTCTATCTGGTAATGGAGTTGGTCAAGGTAAGATTAAGGGTTTAAAAAAATGAAAACAATTCACTGTGCTAGTCAAGGATGTAATGTCTAGGAGAAACATATCTACAAGATATAATCAGATAAAATTTTAGTGGCAACCTCCATTTTTAATCATGCAAATATTCTTGTCAGTTACATTCACGGGATTTACGTCTCTTCAGTTTTAATTAGACTATTTGCACGCAAGTTTGAGGTAATTTTGCAAAGTATATGCACAACTTAGAGAGAAGCGGGTAGTGTTTTTTTATAGCATGTTTAGAATATGCAGCAGCTAACTGTGGTGCGTGTATCCCAAAGGAACATTTGCGTTTAATTCACTAATATCTTTTTTAATCATTTGCTTTAAAGGAACAAATTCTCTTTAATTAGTTTTTCTTAGTCAACTGTAGATACAACAAATAATCTAAACTCAAATGTTTATGTTCCATTAAAATTAAACCTTAAAAAATTGCACCTCTTTTGCTTGTATCAAACATTCACTCACCTTATGTCCAGTTGGCCAAAAACTTGATGGTGGTATTGTGCTTGTACAGAGAAAAAAAAACCTTCAAACTCCATTCTGCTGTCACTTTGTAAACCAAATATGTAAGTTGCATCGAGTTTTATTTCTGCACTCTCTCTTATCTGTGCTGTATACATACAGACCAGCACTGCCCATAGGGTTGATCAGCAGGTCAGATACTAATTAGTACAACTCATCACTTTTTATTTCTGTCTGAAACATTGTTAGATTCAGGAGTCCCTACTAGAATGGCTGCCAGCTTGGGAAACTCTGAAGAAAGTCTGTAATTGTTGAATTCATAATTTTTGTAACATCCAATTTCTCTCCCTTTCTAGATGTTATTTTTATGTAATTGAGGCATCTCCGTTTTTAAAAGTTTTTTATTTTTAATATTTTAATAGTTTACCATCTTGGTGCGTAGTTCCTGAATTTCTGCTGCTTTTCCACGTGTACTGAAATGCTTGGAATGCCACCCACAGTTGCTCAGATAAATCACTCCTACAGATGTATCCAGGGTAACCATCACAGAAACACCCACGTAAAATTCATGGCAATGACTGGAAATGCTGCATCAGTAACTCATTTACGTGTTGTTGTATATTCCAAGAGAAATAGGGTATCCTAGTCAGAGACTGCATAACTGGCCTACTCTGAAATCACCTGGAAGTTCTGCAGTTCAAAGGCATCCTGTTTAGCTATATTTATTTGACATTTTCACAATATATCCAATATTTTCAATTTGTAGTTCATTACAGTTGCTACATTTTTGTTTTATGTTAGGTATGTTGTTGTTTTTTTTTTTTAACTATTGGATTTACATTAGGCTTTATGCAAAATCAGAGCTGTTTTTTGCTATATGAAAGTAGTATTACACTGGTAAGATGAAAATGGAAAGTGTAGGCATGTATGTAATATAAACAAGTAATCAGAAGTAGAAAGATCAATAGAATGAAATCAAGACCAAAAAACGGCTGTGCTTTGTAGATGACCCAAGTCACGGTATAGTATTTTGGTGACAAAATCATCTTTCCCCAAATCATTTATTTTTTAAAGTATTTAACAGGCCTCCAAGCGTGTCTTTTGTACAAGAAGATTTTACATGGTGTTTTATAAGGTATCTTCAACATCTTAATTATTTTTCCTGAAGTGATCTGTTATCTTTCCATGGCTTTAGGGAGGAGACCTATTTGATGCTATCACTTCTTCTACAAAATACACAGAGCGAGATGGGAGCGCAATGGTCTACAATCTAGCCAGTGCACTCAAATACCTTCATGGTCTCAACATTGTGCACAGAGACATCAAGCCAGAAAATCTCCTGGTATGTCCCATTTATTTTCTAATATTATGTCTTTGTTCTCATTAATGCAAATGCTTGTACATAAATGTCAAAGAGCTGAGTAGAGAACGTGAGGAATATTAATTTAGAATAAGTATGTATAAAATAAATCTTCTGCCATGAGATAGCAATCACCATAACCCAAATGAGCTGTGCTCAAACATGTCCTTAGACCTATCTTTATTTACATTTCGATTGGCTGCCATTTGGATAAGTGGGAATATTGTCTCACAGAACAATGAATTTTAAAGCTGTGTTGATGAATTATTTATTACATTTTGCAAGTGGGAGAGAAGGTGGGCTGAGTGCCATTTCTTTGAGTGATCATATGGTTTTCTCAAGCAAATTTTTTTCTTCTTCTTTCCCTGTCATAGCAGGAACATCTTTCTGATGACTTACCAGTATTCTAGCCCTGAACCAACTCTGTACATACAAACATTTATTTTGTGATAGGTCACTGACTACATTTTATTCTCAGCAGAGAAATAAGATGAGTCTGTTGACAAGAATTACCATGAAATCTGCTTTGGGAACTGCTTAGGATACAGTGCACGGAATGGGAACAGGGTGCTGCCTTGCTTATATAGAGGTGATAATCAGGTATTACATATTGGGTATGAGATAGCACATGTGGTGCACTGAACAACCAACCCTGCTTGAGTCACTGTCAGCAGGAATGGTAGTAGTGTTCATCAGCACTTGATAGGCATTTCTTAAATGCCTTCTGTGGTGTTTGTTGATCACATTTAGCAAGGAGTCATGGATTATCCCAGAGCAAATTTTGAACTATTAGAAGGATGCGGTTATAAGCTGAAAATATTTTCTAATTAATAGTCAATTCTTTCCCAACCAATTCCACTGGCAGTCTTTAGCAATTGAAATCAGCCCTCAAATAAATTAGATTGTTTAGCAAAAGAAAGAGGGGGAGGCTTCTGGAAAATGTAGACACAGCAGCATAGCACATAAAGAAAATGAAGGTGGAAGTTTCACCTATTTTCAGCACCTTTTCAAAAACAGCCAGTCCAAAGAAATTTTAAGCTGTCATTAGTATTTGAATACATTACAAATAGGCACAATGTTCTTTATGTCTAGGAAGCCTAAAGAGATTCTTGACAGATGCAAGACTTATTCACAGTGATTACAATGTCAGCATGTTAAGATAGCATACTGGTATTGAATGTAAATGCAAATATTTCCCATCAATTGCCACCTGTACTTGGAAGTAGCTAGGTCTTTTGCACAGGGTCACCCAGCTGTCTGAATTCTGTTCTCTTTACCAGTCATGCATTCAAAAATACAAACTATAAGAGTAATAGCAGATATGAAGTTGCTGTATCAAGGATAAAAACATTTCCATTAATGATATGAATTATACAGAGGAACGAAGGAAGGTATTGCTGCCTTAGTGTTACTCAGTTGTTTGAAGAAACCAAAGAAATTCAGCCATTCTAGAGATGCTGGAGTTCTGTGTTCCAGAACCTAGATCCCATTGAAATCATGATAACAACATAAACGTTTACTTTAAGAACAAAACCAGTATTAATTTATATGCAATGTGTCCTTATAATTTCCTTTGCTTTTGATCTGTCTTTTTTTTCTTGTTATTACTGTCATATAATGCTTTTCTTTCTATTAGAAACTACCTTCTTTCCCATGCAAAATAACTCAGAACAAGATGTGCTAGATTCTTTACGGGGCTTTTGAGTAAGATGCGCTTGTATCTGCACAGAAGCGTGGATACTTCATAGTCAGCTTCGTCTTTACTGAACTCTTCTAGTATAACTGCAACTGTGAGACTAAGATTAGATAAAACATTCCTATGATTTAAAAAATCTTTGTCTGATTGTGTCCTACAGATTGGCAGCTACAATAAATTGCAAGTATATAATTATATTTTTTGTATTATATTTAAAATTTATCTGCATTCTGGGATTGGTCCCTCGCATATTAATTGCTTGAGGCTTATGGTCTGATTTAATAGCTGGCAGACAGCTCCAATGAACAGCTGCTCTAGCTGCACTGTGGCTAAAAGTTGCCATGCCATTTTTCTCTTATTTCTTTAGAGCAAGGAACCAGAAACATTACCCCAACCCATAATTTAACAGTCAGCATAGCCATGGTCTCAAAAAGGGAATAATTTGTTGCTGTGTCATGGAACAAGCTGAGGGGAAGTACTATCTCTACTGTGCTGATCTGACAATATTGCACCTTACTCCGAGCAAGCTGTGCAGTCACATTTGGTTATTTTAAGGGCTTTTACATATGTCCCTAGCCTCAGACTGTATTTCTCAGAATATCTTTTTGGAAGGTATTTATTGGTAGTTGACTGACTTTGCTACTTCCATAGAAATGTTATGTTTGAGAACTGTTACCTTTTCCTCTCTTCTGGTTTTGGCGAATGAGTATTCGTTCACATCCATTTGGTGCATTGTATCATGGAAAGTAGGCAGAAGAAGAGAGTAGCACTACCAGATAACAAATAACAGTGAATTGTCTAGGATGTTATCGGAATTAGCCATGCAGATATTTTGCAGCAAGTTTGTTCTTCAGTCCTCAAGGTAGAATTTAAAAAGTAACAATGGAGACGATAGGATATATTGAAAATTTTCTGGAATTTGACAATGACAATTACACAAACTGTCCACAGCTAAAAGTTTCATATTACTGTTCAGACTTACTTTCTGTAGATAAATTGCTTTTCTCCAGTTATTATTTGGGGCAGAACAGATGAATGTTTGTGGATGTGAGTGTGATTATTTATTATAGTGTTGGTACTCCACTTTTAATTCAGTTGGTTTCATTTCAGACTTTGTCCAGACAGTTTGCAGTTCTCCTTTGAGCACAGTTTGTCTATGAATGGGAGTAAATATATATTGGATTCAGGAAGCAACCAAACCACAAGGACTGAGCCATTGCCAGTTGTGAAATCTTAGGATCAGAAAAGACTGGTCAAGTGACAGCTTGATTCTAAATATTTTTTTCTTATAAATGGTGTTTTTCAAACAGCTACTTTTGTAGAAGGGTACAAATAAGGTTATCTGGACTCTTGCTTCCCCTGCAAAATCCATTATCTGACACGTATTGTTTTCAGATGTTTCATTTTACTTAAACGTAGCAGAACAGATGTACTTTTCTCAGTTTATTTGTATGTAATGATCATTCTTTCCAGTCATGGAAAAAAGCTGGAAAAAATTGTAGTCACAGACATTGTCCAAAACAAATGAGCCCAGTTGTAGTCTCTAAGTGTTTTCTGATGGGAGCTCCGACTTTACAAATATACTTACATTGAATTTCATGCTGAGAAACAAGTGCACAAGGATTCATTGGTGAAAGTGACATTGCTCAGTAGAAAGCAAAATTAAACCTAATGGGGAGGAAGATGGAGATTTCATAACAGTTTAAGTAACAGCTCGCTCCATTCTTACATAAACACTTTTTTTAATAGACAATTGAACATGTTATGTTAATCTTTGCTCATAAAAAGGTGTGCATCAAGAAACAATTTCTGTAAGATGTTTATGTTCAGTAAGACAAAACTATTACAGCCTTCAAAATAATGTCGCTTGTTTTGGGATGGAAAAACAATCTATTCAACAGTTATAAGGACTCTAGAAGTCTGTGCTATGTTTCCCTAGTAGATTATTTTATTTAGGTAGCTTTAGAGCTAGCAATCAAGAAGTACTTAAAACACTTTATCATGTAATTTTATCTAGGTCTCTAGGAAGTTACATAGAAATGAAAGATACGTTAGATACAGCAGAAATCTCCACACATAGAATTTATTAGCAAGTGTATTAGATGAAAAAAACTTGGTCATAAGCTGAACAGAGAGCTTAATTAATCTTTCAGCCAAAGCTTTGTTTCATTTCTAAGCATAACGTGCCAATTCCTGTTCTAGTCTAGGTGTCTTTATAGAGACCAGGATTCCTTCAGTGTAAGATGAGGTACATAACATGGTTTTACAGTACTGCAAAGACATGGCCTAACTGGAGCCAAGAGGTATACAGTTTCCTTTGTTTTCTTTCTTGGACATTTATGTCAGTCACATTAAGAAGTTACTCTGAGCATCCTGGACAGCAACCTACCATTTCTCAAATGTATAATATAGCTATCTTTAAGTTTTATGTAAATTACAAAATATTAGTAAGAGAAATTAAGTTCTTGTCTTTTTAAGAACTTGTAAAGAGTAGAATGTCCAGAAGCAGAGTAAATTATAGCAAGAAAATATTTTCATATATTTCCTTCTTCAAACTGAGATTACTTATGGCTGGACTGTCAAGAGAAGCCTGTTTTTAGAAAGTCTATAGCTTAAAACACATTCAAGAATCATGGACCTTAACCCAGCTGTAATACAGGGCTATTGAAGCTACATCTTTTTCCTACCTTCTCAGTGTGACGACAATTATTTTTCAAGTAAATCAAAAGGTTAAAAAAAAATAATGCAAATATCCTCTTCACCATTCTGTTTCTCTATTCCCAATTCTAGGTCTGTGAATATCCAGATGGAACCAAGTCCTTGAAGCTAGGAGACTTTGGACTGGCAACTGTGGTTGAAGGACCTTTATATACCGTTTGTGGTACGCCCACATATGTGGCTCCAGAAATCATTGCAGAGACAGGGTGAGGATAAGTAACTTAAGACATAGGTCTTGTAACCAGATATTTTTGGCAGGTAGCTCCTCACTGCTGTAAGAACTAGAATGCTCTAATAGGATGGTCCCTCTAATAGGATGGTCCTCTATCTCTTTTAACCAAAATAATTATGAGAAAACTGGCAGCATTCAGCCCCTGAAGGAGGCAAATTTCCCCACTCACCCTGATGGTTTAATTAAACAACCCCATTTTTCTGTATTTAAACAGGTGGTTGCATAAATACAAAATAATTTTGTGAAATGGCAGAACTTAACCAGTCTTCTATCATACTAGACAAGAGCTCTCCATTCCATCTTAGCTGATTCTTCCTTTAACTGTGACTTCGATCCTCCTAATGGAGGACGGTTTGTTGCATTGTTTCGAGCATTGTTCAGTGCATTTGTCATATTGACAAATACTTCAGCACTGCAGTGATCTCAAATGTCAAAGTGCATTTCATCAGCATGTTTTACACTTGGACAAACTGAAGCTACTGAATAGGAAAAGAAATAAGAAAAAAAAAAAGATCTCTTGTTGACCTCTAGTGCTTTAATTTCTGTGCTTTAAAAGAAAGGTGCAGTTCTTTATCCCTGTGTTACTCATTCATTTAGGAAACTGGAGAATCTTTCTTGTTGCTTAGCAACACATAATAATGTCAGAGGTAGTTACTCCGGTGTGGGGACTAGGGCGCATCCTTGTCTTTTATCGTCAGTGTTTCTGGATTGGGAAACCGTGATGCTGAATTGAATTGGGGTAGTGAGGGGGGCAGGGAAGGAATTCTGTGGAAAATGATGTTATCAGGGCTTCCTAAGTCTGTGAAGGACCCTAAGTAAAATCCACCTCATCAGCAAGTAATTTATAGTAGGATCGCAATGCATGTTCATGTAATTTTCATCAACTGTTTGATTGAAATGAATTTTATTTTTCAACTGAGCACAAGTAACGCAATCTTGTTTCCTCAGATATGGCTTAAAGGTAGATATTTGGGCTGCAGGCGTGATCACATACATACTGTTATGTGGATTTCCACCTTTTCGCAGGTGAGTGTCACTCCTTTCTGTAAGTAAGCCTTATCTGTCTCCTTAGAAAAGGTGCCTTGGAAACAAAATGGATTAGACTGATACATTTCCTTTACCTGCTTGGTCCTTTATAAAATTGGTTTCAGTTGTCTCTCTTGTCATGTTTTGGGATTTTATTTCTTTAATTTTCTATAGGAGCAGCTGGCTTTCTGCTGTGTTCAGGGATGTGGCTTGAGAGCATAGTTACATTTCCTTTTGTCTGCTACATTGGAGCCAGTTAAATGAATGAGTATATTTTGCCCTCTTGTGTTTCTGCTTGGACACAGCATCTTACTGGTTTAGTGTTAAAGGAAAAAAAGTTAATAGTATACTGAGGTGAGGGGAAGAATTCATTTATGTTGCATTTTTAATTTTGTTAATCTTTTTTGGCAAGTGTCATATGGTTGATGAAGTTTGTTAACATGATTCTCACTGCTTAATATCCCAGTATACATAAAGTCTACTAAAGTCAGTTGGATGTGCTTTGCTCCTCAGTAATTTTTGTTGCCAGGGAATGAGAAGGAATTAGCACATTTTAATCAGGAATTCTCCCCTTCCCGTTATCCTTGCAAATAGTGTTTGTCTGTTTTTACAGCAAAACACCTACTTTAACTAAAAATCACCAGACCAAATATATTGCAAAGAATACATTATAAATTATAGTCAATGGAAAAGTTATCATTTAGTTTTGATATTTGTTTTTTGGATCTTATTAGTGTGCTTAACACTAAAAAACATGTTTTGAAAGCTATATTATACAAATAAATTACAATTGCTTCAAATAGAGTTTGGGCTAACAAGGCAAAATGTCCATACTATGCTATCAGAATCGGGACTTAATAAAAGGTTAACAAGTATTTGTTGCAAAACCAACTCAAAACTACGTTGTTTATAACAGAGTTTGAGTGGATGTTCGCAGTAGTTGGTGTCAACAAACAATTTAAAAAAAAACAAACACAACAACACTGCCTCTGCTTCCTGAATATTTATGATACCATACTTTTGATAAAAAGGTACTTATCCCCTCAGTAACCTGACAGTACTCGGTGGATCATGCGTTTTCCATATCATCTCTTTAACTTTTGAAAATTCTCCTGTTGCACTAGCTTAGTAGAAGAGGCTCATTTCACTACACTTCTTCCCCTGTCATAGTCTTTTCGTGGCAGGTCCTTTAGAGGTAGGCTGGCAAGTGACTTATTTTTGAATCACCTTTACTGTCACTGCATGATGTGTTAGCTTTGTAGTCTTTATTCCAGTAGAAGGGTTATTTTTCTGTTCTTATCACTCCTGATAGTGTAACTATGGCAAAAACCTCAGAAGTATTGCCACTATATAAGCCTGCAAATTATGTGCTTGTAATAATTGATAAAACATCATTTCTGTTCCATTTCAAAATCAAATTAAAAAAAACTCATGCCAGACTTCTTTCTTCTGATCTTTTTAAATTGTTGCTGTTCTACAGTGAAAACAACCTTCAGGAAGACCTTTTTGATCAGATACTCGTTGGGAAGCTGGAATTTCCTTCACCCTACTGGGATAACATCACTGATTCAGCAAAGGTATGATACATTGTCTAACACGGAAAACAGTTTCTGACAAGCCACTGAAAAGACTGTATCCTGTTGAAAATGCAGAACAGAATATTCAGAACAGACTTACCTGCTCTTCCAGCTGCTGTGCCTTTTTAGTTAGCTTAATAGTACTTGATGAAAGCTCAGGTTTAGCAGACCTACTATCATGTTATTGTCTGAGTGAATAAGTAAGTACAGCAAAATGGCAATTGCATTCAGTGAACATCATGTTGTTGGGTTTACTTAATGAAGGACCATTTATAGCAGGTTCAGTACTTCCACTATGACATAACTGTCTCCGGATTTTCCCCTCCAGACATTCTTTTAAAAGAAGAATGATTGCTACATGGACCAAATACAACTGACATTATTTGTTCCTATTTTACCAGTTATTAGAACTTTCCAAGAGTTGCAGCCAGCTTATTTGCCATTGCTAATAGTTCTTGTATTATCATTGACGTTTGCGTTTAAAATGATTGATTCTGTAGGATAAAGGTTTCAAATGTTAAACCCCACTTGTCAAGTTAATTCAGGTAATGTTCTCTAAATGATGTCTAAAGATTCTCATTAGCACACAGAGGTTATTTATTATCCAGCTAATGAGAAGTTGCATTTTTTCCTGAATTTCCCAATGGCTGTTACCTGAAAAGAGAGCAAATTTATTGATTTGCCAGTGTTTCCCAAGCTCCAGTCATCTCCTACTCTTCCAGACTTTCATTAAGAACAAACAAGGCCCTCAATCTTGGTACTAGAAGCCATCTTTCACTTCAGATTTACACAGACTAAGTGACTTGGCTGGTTGAGAAACCTCATGGTTTGTATGTTATTTGCATGAAGAAGCCTTTTCTCTAAACTGAAATGATGACTAGTCTTCTTGAAGTACTTTTGAGGAGTGCATATGACTGACAATTTGGAGGTTATAAAAAGTTTTTGAAAGGGGAATTTGGCTCTAATTACATGAATTTGTTCATAAGGTAGAAGGAAATATTTGTATTGATAGGTTTGTAGAACCAGGAATTACACCAGTAAATTAGCTGTTAGTTACATAGCAATAAACAATTGAAGAAAGTTTGGGGGGGAGGGGGGGGACAGAGGGGGTGGTTGTTTTATTTTTAAACTTTACTTGTCTGCTTTGCAATAATGACCTCTTTAAGCTTTATCATATTCATAAGCAACATAGTCTTACCATTAACAAAAGGTCCACGGAGGCATTTGATAAAGCTGAAGACACCTGCTCTAGTGACTCTAAAACATGATTAAAGCTGCAAACAAATCATGATGAAAACCACAATCCCAAATTATTTTTTTTTTGATTTAACCATGTAATTAAGTATTTTCCCCTACTTATCTGCCTTTTCCTACACTGGATGATTCTAAGCTGGCGAATTGAGTTAAATGTCCGTTTATTCTTCTGGTGGAACACATAGGAGAATGTAGTTTTAAAATAACCTCAACAGTTTCTTGAATTTCTGATGACGTTTCTTACCTTTGATTTGTACTCTTTATGTACGGTGACTATATACCCTGCCCATAGAGGAATCATGTCTGTCCCAGGTTTGTTTCCATTCTGGTCCCCTGCACGAATGTAGAGAACAAATTGGAACATTATCGCTGATGTTTGCAATGATTACTTTTTGTCTGGTTTTAAAAGAGTCGGTGAATCATGAATACAATAGTAGTTGCACTGAGAAGAATTCAATGCAGATAGCTCTTTTCCATTGTAATGCCCTTCCCCATTCCACTCAAACTCTTATTTTTCTTTTTTCTTCTCCTCTCCAAAGGAGTTAATTAGCCTGATGTTACACGTGAATGCTGAAGCTCGATATACAGCTGCACAAATCCTAAGCCATCCCTGGGTGTCAGTGAGTATACTTTTTTTTGTCTCTAATTTAATATTAAATCTATAAAACTAAATATTAGTGTAATTCTCAAAAGCAGCAACACGATTCTGCTATGCCCATTTCTGTTTATTGAACCACTAGTCCCTTTTCCAAATGTTAAAGAGTTTAGCACAAGTCTGAAGTTAGCTACAGCTCTAACAGTTCTGTTAGCTACTGTGCTCTAAAAGAATAGAGTAACTAATAATAAACTATTATTAACTATTGTTATTTATTAACTATTAATAAAGCAACTATTGCGCACATTGATATCTTGCTGCAATGCTACCTAAAAGAAATTACTATTGCCTATTTTTTCACAAGAGAAATAAAATTAGTAAATAATATATTATTTTTCACGTAAGCACTAAGCTGATGACAGCCAGGTACTTCATCTTTTTGAACTGCAGCAAGAAGGAACACCAAAGTGCACTGCTTACTGATTTAAAATCCTATTTTTATTAATAAATATTAGGTTTACATGTATATAGCCAACTGTTATTTCGACACACATTTTAAAAGAGAGACCAATATGATATATGGAGTTCCCTCAAACACGAGAAAACAACTTTAATGATTGTTTCTCTTCGTAACAGCTCCTTTCAAATGTATTTATGGCACTGTATTTTGTTTCCATGTTTTTGGGGATGTGACGGGCCGTTTAAAATCTTGATATAAATAAAGCCAACTGACAAATATGCTTTTTATTTTTAACATTATAGTTATGCTTGAATAAAACTTAAAATAGTGGGACAAATTCATGGACTGAGAGTATATAGTATCACATGGCGTTTTAAGAAATAGGTCATAAATAAAACAGCAGTTGCTACGTTCCTTTCCTATGTAATTTCTCTTAACCAGTTTGAACCATAGCTCATGTAACAAGAGGGCATTCTTTTTGGACCGCTTATCAAAATGATTACTTCAAAGTACCTCCAGATAATATACAAGTTCTCTTTTGCTCAGTTATGTAAAATGTTTTATTTCTATTTCCTAGCTTCAATATTACGTTTGTTCTTACACAGGATGATGCTTCCCAGGAGAATAATATGCAAGCTGAAGTAACAGGTAAACTGAAGCAGCACTTTAACAACACCCTTCCCAAGCAAAACAACACATCTGCTGGGGTTTCTGTCATCATGGTAAGTGAAATTAAACAGTTTTATACATTCTATATTACACTTCACAATTTTTCTAACAGTGCTCTATGAGCGTGTGTGGTGCAAGAATAGCAAAAGCAAAGCTAGAATAGTCTCTAATTCTAGTTTTTATCTGTGTATTGTGTGGATTCTCCCATCATCGCTTGAGAGCAACCAAGTCTACCACAGCGTGCTAGCTGAGCTATAAAAGCAAGCTTTCAGATACGTGTTAACACTAAGTAGTAGTATGTTGAAATGGAGTTTATATACGATTTGAAAGTATTCATTATAAAATCTGCAATATTGTTTTTAATCATACTAATCACCTAGTTAGCTAAGTTGGCTCTTCCCAGATGCCAAACCAATGTTTGATCCTGAGCGTGCTGTTGTTCAATACTATGCTTGTGGGGAAACCAGAATCCCTTTTGGACATTTTTCATAATATTGAATATTTACCACATTAATTTTGTCCCAGTCTAACCACATATATGTTCCCTAATGGGGAACTTTATTCAAAGTATATGAAGGAACCCTGATGGCCTATAGCTTAACTTACATAAGCAGTACTTATAGCAGGCAGATATATGAATCATGGTAAAGGAAATGCAGTTGAGTTCACTGTTGTCAGTGCTCAGAACTGCCCTCGTAATTGACTAGTCACTTTTGCAGAGAAACAGTCAACAGTTCTAGAGGCTGAACTGCCATTCTTGTCTTATTGCTGTCCATTGTGGTTTAATGCAAGGGTGCACACTGTGCACAGAATATCTTCCATTATTAAAAGAAAAATAAAGCCATAGCCGATAGTAATGTACCAGTGACTTTCTTCCCTGATAATAAAAATTACTCAAAGTCCACCCCACTTATGTTACCAAAGAGTTGTTCTTATCAACTTAAAGTAGACAACTTTAAATAACATGTCTGCATATATATAAACTTTTGAAAATGCATTTATATGAATTAAATAGGCAAAAGATCTAACATGGAAAGGTGGTAACAAAATAAAAATGAGAGAAGTCAGAAAATGTGTTTCAGGTTCATGCTGTTATCTGCATTTCATTTGACAGTTTGACTTGACAGTTTGAGAGGGACTTCAGAGCTTCATTCTTTATACTGTTGAGACTATGGATAAGCCTGAAGCCGAAAACTGGTATAAAATGCACTATATGTAATAAGAGCAATTTTAATTCTAACTCTCAGCCCCTCTCCAACTTGCATGCCACTTAAGCCTATCTCAGATCTCTGACACAGCGTAGCTTCTGGCTTCTTATTGGTTTAGACTTTTTTCCTGATTCTGTTACTACTGACATCCCATCAGCCAGGAAAGTACACGTCATTAAAACTTATATTTTAATTTTCCCTTTTTCTGCCTTAGTTCCTCCTAACCGGCATGGAAGGATGTAAACAATTAATTATTTAGCTCTGAATGCAGCTCTGAGTTACTGCTGAAGGGAAACATCTCGTTCAGAAAAAGAGCGTAATCTAATGAGAGTTAAGCCCCCAGTTTGTTTTTCTTGCCCTGGTTTATCTTGAGCACTGAAATTTAGTCATCTTCAAGTTAACAAGGTCTTCACTTGTACTAGAAATCATCACTTAAAAACATTCAGACAAGCACAGTATTGTAATTCTCGTGTATTGCAGTGCATTGCTAAATCAGCAATATATATTTAATGGAATCCCTTTTAGCATCACTTCATTCAAATATTGTCATCTGGCCAATGCAGATAATACCACCATGTGGCAGATAAGTAAAACTGCACATACCTACTTCAGTGTTCTTGCACAGGAGACTTTCTGCCCCTAAAAGCATGTTGCTGTTAACTCATTACTGATTTTTTTTTTGTCAGTTTATAAATGTTCTGTTAATCTAAATTTGCTGCAATTGTGTTAGTTCTGCTTAAAGTAAGTCTAGTTTCTGTCCCTTGCTTCCTTCCTTTTTCCTCCTTTCCCAATGCCTGCATTGCTTTCCTCTGAGTAGGTCCAAGGCAATGGTACGTACTAACTGCAGTGCTTCGTTTTGCTGCACAAAAAATACATGTGCTCTGTTTGTCACAAGGAAAAAGGAGAAATAGTTCAGCCAGTCTGAAGTGGAAAGAGCTTTACCACCACACAAAAAAGCTAAAATAAAATCTTTTCAATACTTGCAAAGGAGTTTTCTATATTAAGAGATGCATATTTGAAATTTGCTAGGCTAGCACTAATATAACTAGTTATTTCTTACCTCCTCAGACATATCTTAGCCTATTTCCCTTAGAGCAATTTTGTATATATATGTACATCTTAGAATATCTGAAAGCATTAGAAAAAGTATACATCAGCTCTTGTTCACACCAAAAAGCTACAACACTGGATACCTTTCTATGTCCAGAGAACAGACTGACAGCTGGTACACGTTCCTTGTGAATGTGACACAAAGAGTAGCCCAAACTAACAAAATGTAGAATTGCTTGATGAAAGAAAAGGTGGGAATTCTATGAAGAAACCAAAACCAACAAAAGCAAAAACAACAAAACAAAAACCAAACTACTGAAATAAGAATTGTTTTCATAAAATATTGTTGCCTCAGCCATCATGTGTAACAGAGCTAGTCAGAAGGTAATCCTAACTTAACAAGTCCTAACTTAACAAAAATTTTTCTTCCTCCAGAACAGTGAAATTCAACCTCCTCTTCAGTTCTAAAAAAAGAAAAAAAAATCCTAAATTTTATTACATATGTTGTATTGCTATATGCAAGGTGTGAATGACTATCAGTAGCTGCTGTGAGGACAGCACTATCTGCATGAGCTGGAAGTACTTCCTTTCCTTTCCGTTTTTAAATACCGTGCCTTGCCATTCAAACAGCAGGAACCTATTTATTCACAATTCTTTTTCTAGCAAGTAAGAGGAAATGCAAGCCTGCCTGCATAGCAGCTACATTGATAATGGTAAAACTAGTGCATGCCATACCTAATATCAAAAGTCTAGCTACAGTTCAGCTAGACATTCCCTTGCATGCTTCATTTGCAAAGTTGATTGCTAGAAGCAGAGAATTCAATTGGGAACTATTGAATTTTCTCCTTGTGCCTGTATGCATGTAGACTTCTGTTGTAACTTGAAAATCAGAACAAAAGAAACCCCCTCACTTTAAAATACTTAACCCTTGCCTTTTAGGAGCTCTTATCCTCAGTACTTGGGGCTAAAAAGCCTGTCAGGAAGGCCTTGCAGGGAGGAGGGGCATCACCAGGCTGCTGGATGATTCCCACCTAGCCTGCTCATATAGCATGCAAAAAGAGTTAATAAAACACAACAGAAAGCAGAGTTAAGTCTGAAAAATACAGGAAGGAGAGCTTTGCACCTTCAGTGTGCTGGATAAGAGGCAGGTATAGGAGCCCTTGTCATTGATCCAAAACAGTAATTTGAATCACTGGTGTTAAGGAAAATCTAACATAAATCACTGTCTTCTATCTGTTCTACTCCGAAGGAACTGACCCATTCCCAGAGCCAATTGTGAGTAGGAAGGGTAGTGTCTTCCAGAAGGAGAGAATAGAGTAAACTGGCTCTAGCTTTTTCTTGAGTTTTAATCGTTATACAAAGTACAATTGTTCTAGCAGGAGATTCTGAGTGAGATCAATTCCAGAACAACCTGCCCTCCATATACCTGCAAACTACAGAAGTCCTCTACTTGAGAAACTGGAGATGCCAGTCCAGCTCTCTTTGCTAAAGTCAAGAGAAAGAGAAATTTGAATTTCAGTACCCCGTAATGAAAGCTTAGATACATGATCAATTTGGAGCAGATATTACTTTTTCTCTGCCTTGCCCTTGGTGACCTTGATGCAATAAACCATGGCTGAAACACATACATACTGAGGTTAACTTGTATCAGAAAATTATTTCAGTATCAAAACAACAAATTTTAGTAAACAGCGTATTAGACCAATTCCACTAATACATAGAAATTATCACATTACTAAAGTCTTCTGTAGCAATTTCTTCTTTTAATTGCTCAGGAGAAGGCAGAGCACCTGATCCTACCGCACAGTTAGTACATCTCAGCTCAAAATATGACTCCAAAAACCAGTGTCGTGCAATGCTTACACATACATATGCAGAGGTCACTATGAAAGTGAAGCACATATTTGTACTCTGCTTTTAACTTCAAGTATCACACGTTTGTAGATTGCTGTAGAAAGCCCAAGATGTACTTGACTGGAATAAGCATACCTTGCACCACTCTACATCACTGAATGAACTACAAAGAACTTAATCTGTATTAATTTAAATCTATATTATCATCGGTAGTTAAAGCGCTTCCATGAAGCAAATGGTTAAGCCAAGACTTACAGGGTTTATAATGATCAATATAAGCCTTCAAGCTGTGAAACAAGACCCATTGTGCTGTCCCTCCAAGTCTTAGAAAACAATGCTGAAAGACAGTTTTGACACAGGCACTACAAGATTTCCCTCTAGGTCACTTCAAATATCCTCCTAGAAATGAAACATTACACTGTGGTTTAATATAAAATTGCAGTAGCCCTCAGAGGCTATGAAAGTTGTCTGATTCAGCAGACACCACAGACGCTAAGATAATCCACCTATTGCACTATGGCGTTCTCAGTTTCCAGGATAACCTCTTCTTCATTAAACCTGTGCATTTTCAGGTATAGCATTCAGACATTAACACGGTTTTGCTACTGTATTCTGTTGGTTGCAGGAGACCTCACCTTCCTTCTTTCAACAAGAAACAGAAAAGGATTCTACTTAGAAATAGAAAAATTCCTTACATTTTCATCTGTCACCCTCAAAAACTGATACAGTTCCGTTCCTTGTGGTAATAGAAACATATATTTAAATTATATGTTTAAACTCAAAAGTATTATATTACTTCCTGTATCCACACAACTGCAGGTACATAGTTTTTGCTAAAAGCTAGTATGAAGAGTTCTAGTATGAAAAGCTAGTATGACAACCACTTTTTTTTTCCGCATCAGACTTGCAAGATAAAATTGTCAGCTTGTACCATCACAGCAAACATAGGTCTGGAATATGCATTTTCTAAAGACTGCACCATAAAAACCTACATTTAAATAAGATTTCTAATTTTATTTCTCCTTTTTTCTGCCTCTAATGCATGCCCCTGATGTCTTGTAGATTATTTTAACCCTGAAGTTACCTCGGAGCTTTGATTTAACTGCTGGTTTTTATATTTTGCCTTGGGTTTCTTGTTTGTTTTTAGAACACAGCTCTAGATAAAGAGAGTCAGATTTTCTGCAGCAAGCGCTGTCAGGACTCCGATAGAGCTGGAACGGAGACAGCTTCTGCAATTACTGCTGCAGCTGATGATCCTCGTGTGACTGGGTCCAAGACCCTCCTCCCTGCTGCTTCTGAGCCAGTCAGATCCCCCTCGCTCCCCACCTCAGTGTCTCCTGAGTTTGCTGGGGATCAGCCTGGTGTGTAGGACTGATTAAATCAAGTGCAACTGAAGCTCTCTGCACTCTTGCCACAGTTACTCTTCGTTTCATATGATGGTTCGTTTCCAGTTTTCTTGCACCCTCCTGTGGCAAGCTCAGGGCAGGCTCTGCCATGAGAGACTGAAATTCTAACGGCGGGTGAACAAATGTGGTCCTCTGAGTGCTCTTTGCCCTCGGTATGGAGAACATCAGTAGGGAGAAAGATTCTGGTAATGTTAGATGATTTTTAAGTTACCTGTGTTAGTTTAATTTACTGCATTCACACAGCCTTGGGCTCTGTAAGTAGACTAACTTAACTGTGTAGCTAACCATATTTTTATATAGGCATTTGAGATGATGAACAGTTGCCAGGCTTCGCTTCTAGCAGCAGGCCCCATTCAGTTCTTTTGATGAGGATTCTCAGAAAAGCAAGAGAGGAAGACAAGGGAAGAAAACTTACATTCACCTTCTATTCCGATGCCTCTACTTTTAGTCAAGTTTCTACCAAACCTGAAGAGGCATATTTTCATTAAAAAAAAAAAAATAAATTAGTGTACTAACTGTAAAATATCATGAGGCAAACACTGGAGATACAGGGAAAGATGGTAATTTTTGCATAAAGTTTGTTTAGACTTGCAGGCTGCAGGGTAGTGTTTAGATAATGCGAACTTAAATAAAGTGACTTGGGATATGAACATGAGCACTGGACATTTATTTGTAATGAAGACTGGAGTCAAGGAAGCCTTTTTGTTCAAGCTGTTTTCTATCCTAATCACAAACGTCACATCCACACCTTTCTCCAGAGTCAGGCTACAATAAAATGACTTTGGAGCTGTGAACGGAGAGCCTGCTGCATGTCATCTAAGCTAGGATGGATGGAGCAGTTCCTAGTTCTAGGGCAAGCTGCTAGAGGAGCTACTACAAATGGCCTCAAAACAAAGCTACCCACAAAAAGTAGCTGTCAGAGGTTTGTCAGTGCTATCCCCCTATTCACCTGGTGCAGGCACTGGAAACAAGGATCGGGGAGCAGCTATCCTTAATCTGCAGTCACAGGTAGATGAGGTTTTATCTTTGCCATACTGCTTAGTTCAATATTGTATCTATTCAGCTTATTCTTTTCCTTTGCTCGTTCTTATGAATTGGTCATAGATCATTTTCTTTCTTAGCTATACTTTCTACTAGAATTGTAAAAGAAAGACCTGCAATAAACTTTCTAAAATTAAAACCCTTGGTCATTCATTTCTTTGAGAATTCAGTTATTTTGTTAGTGGAGAGACCGACCATTTAGGTACCTAGCAAGAAGATTTCATAAAACAAATCCAAGCATTTCCCATAACCTTTTAAAGTCCCTTGATATGTACAGAAGACAGAGATAATACATAACTGACCATGAGTAATTGTCTCTTCAAAAGGTAAAGCAAAGTGCACAAAGTGCTAATTGATAACTTAAAAGTCACAGTACAGCTGAGAGATTTACAGGCATGTTGACAAAAAATGTGTATGAGAAGGTCTAAACTATCATAAAAATGTTGGGCTAGGTCAGGACCAAAGGAGAGTCACAACTAGCTATTGTGAGTTAACTTTTTTATTTTTTTAATGGGATCGCTGGAATGATTTCAAGATGAAGGGAGACTAAGGGAATGGCCTTTGTATAAAATTAAGTACATTTCTATTTCTGTACAGTACAACAATATGAAGATAAGCCTAATCTTACTCTGAAACTAATGAGAGTCCACAGGATAGATATGTGTATGCAATTGGTAAGTTTGGTAAGGAGTCTTGGGATAAGATAAAGAAAAGCTGTGCAATTTCGGATGGGATGGGCTAACCCAAACACCTCCAGCAAGGAAGGGGAGCCTCTGACAGATAAGACAGTGACGAGCTACTGACCTGGGAGATGATTAAGGAAGAAGTAGCAGCAAATTGATGAAGACCGGGTTATTTTAAGCTCTGTTTTTTTCCTAAGAGGATGGATATTCAGCTGTGTAAGGACTAGATACTTATTTTATAAAGGAAAATTTGACACAGATTAACAGAAATAGCTAAGAAGTTGTTTGCCACAAAGCCTCATACATATAATAAAGGAAAGGACGAAAATTTAACTGGTAATCAGCAGTCATTTGAACCACTATTTTGTCACATGAAAAGAGAAGGTAAAAGGCTTACAAACCTTGAACTCATGAGCTTAAATTCATGACTGACCAGCACATGAACATTTAAAGACAAGTATTTTGATTCACAGAGGAGAGGCAGCTGACAGACTAGGCCAAGACACTTAAAAGCAGTGACAACAGCTGGGAAAAATGATCATGTGGCCAACATACCAGATAAAAACGTGGGATATCTGGGCAAGATCTTAACTCAGTCCATGACCATAGGAAACTTGCATCAGTTCTCCATGCCTGAACTTAACGCCACAGATGTTAAAGCTATGGGTATCACACATTTATTTTGAACATCACACATTTATTTTGAACATCAAAATAAAGGTGTGTCGGTTAACAATAAAACCCTTACTTAATGAAGGCTCCTAAGTCCTATGTTTGGTTTGTTATCTATTGCACTTTCACTTAGTCTCTCTCTTTGTCCATCACTTACTGGAAGAAGGCAAAAATTATAAAATAAAAGGTAAAACAGAACTATGCTGTCTGCTACAAAGGGAAAGTATCAGCACATAGTAACAGCTAGAGAAACATTAAATTCAAGTTATCCTTTTGTCAAGAGAGGACTGCCACATTTTTCGTCTTATAAAAATAGCTAAAATTTATCACAGAATCACAGAATTCCTAGGTTGGAAGAGACCCCAAGATCATCGAGTCCAACCTCTGACCTAACACTAACAGTACCCACTAAACCATATCCCTAAGCCCTACATCTAAACATCTTATGTACCATTTTGATAGACAGTGACTAAACACCATCATTTTCATACACTCAACAGTGCCAGCACAAATGCCACAATGTCTAAATTTAAAAAAAAAAAAAAAAGCATTAAAACAAAATCTTTTAAAAAGCCTATCTTTGTAGGTCCTTTGAATATGAGTAGTACGTCATATGTATCCCAGTGGCTCAGTTCATGAGTCCTAGATTTCAAATCTAGAAATATAATTGAGTCTACCCTGGGTGTAAATCAACGTAACACTAGGTTCATTAAGATTCTTGTCAAAATTTACCCTTACACATACACACCACATAGACTGCCATACATATACACTACAACTTACAGCCCATTCTTGGGCTTATGAAATTAATTACAATAATTGTCAGTAAGTACATTAAGGTAGAAGATGTTTTATGATGTTGGTACTATTATCCAGCACCAGTTCATGCTTACAGTCATTAAGAATATTTCCATAGCTCATTAAATCCTACCTTGCGCTATATTAACAAGCAGAGATCTTTTATTTTTAGATGTAGACAGTTTCCCCCCCCCCCTCCATCTCACTAAATACTTGAGGAAGAGAAGACAGAAGAAAACGATGACTGAATTTAATAGATTTGTGTTTTTTTTTCTCCTAAATTAAATATATATATTTTTAATAATTATATATGCTCTAAGTTAAAAATGTATGTACAATACCAGAAAATACTTCCAACCTACTTTTGATTCCCACTTTTCCCTTTCTTGCCTTTAAAAAACACAACCACAGGCTTTTTGTACTATACTGGTGTGCACCCAGTATCTCATTTGACCAAACCTTTTCTATGGCTACAGTACCTCACAAAGCACTTCAGTTTCAATCCAAATTCCAAGAGTTTAATTTTACAGCCAGAGTTTTATATCACCTCTAACGATTACATTTTCCTTGTAAGGATACCATAAATATTTATGTATTTGTTATTAAAACATTCTGATTACTCTTAAAATTAACAGTTGAACATACAGAGGACATATTTATTCCTGCAGTAATGCTATCAAAAACAAGTAGTTGTTGCAGAATAAAGGGAGTAACATTTTATAAATAATAAAATGTAAATTACATTATTTATACGGAAATAAAAATTTGACAGCCCTAGCTTTGCAGAACATAAGAACATGTGGAAGAAAAGGTATGCTGACTTTGTACTTGGTGCTGTTCCAGAGCTGGATTTAGGAACAAAAAGCATGTGGTGGGGTTTGAGCTGGGTAAGGTCACTCTCTTAATCCAAGGAAGCATGTCTCCAAGACCCCATTAATCTCTCAGAAATAGAGGTTCTAAGATTTGGGTATCTGGTAAGAAGACTACGGCAACAACATTGACTTCCAAAAGTAAACTCCACTGTCATTTTTTCCTGCCTATCTTTACTCAGAGATTATACTGAATGTATAAGAACTAGTGTGGCAAAATACACAAAAAAAACTAACTGGCATCCTTCAGAAGATGCCAGCCACTTCCCGTTACCTCTTGGAGGGCCCTGGTGATGCAGGAAACAGACTCTCCTGCACCCTGGTTTGTGCTGAGATCAGTAGCAAGATACTGTTCATCATTTCCAACAGGAATTCCCACCTTTGGTTCCTCCAAGAAGACTCATTTCCCTAATCTACTTGAAATCAAGAAATCATTAGCCAGGAAGCATTAACTTGATATAATGCTGTCTGTGCCCTCCTTAAAACACGGTTCAAATTCCTATTCACAGAGGTGGTTCTGATTGTTTTAGGCTAAACCACTAAGTTAAGGAAGCAAGGAGCAAACGAGGCAAGCAGCCTCATTTCATCCCAGTTCTAATAGCCTTCTCCTCTGGTAGTCATTGGTCTTATTATTACAGCACTGACCCAAGTCTGATGCTTTCACTAGTCCAGAGGATACCTCAAAAGTAAGGTAAATACACTGAATTATCCACCATTAGAGACATACACACATCTTTCAATTATCTTGGTTTTAACAGTTCAAAAATGGGAAATGATGTTTTGTGTTTAATCAGCTCTTTTGAGCTACATAACAATGGCAACTGGAAAGCAACAGAAATGCACAAAACTAATAACCTATCCTAAATGCTGATTAAGTAAAACTTTTCTTTTAAGATAAAAAAAAAAAAAAAAAAAAAGGTAATCGAACACTCCTACTGCCATCAGCTTTGATGTCTAATGCAAGTGTTACCTAGAATCAGTAAAGTAACAGATTGTTTCTATTAACTGTGGGACTGATTTTCAAGTGTTGTTTAGCATTTATAAATCTAGGTATGTAGTTGGGCTTAAAAAAGACATTCGCTATGAAGAACTGAACATCCCTGGGAGTTAAACTACTGCAAAGTGAAGATCAGTGCAGGCAGCAGAGGGGGACGGCGCCCTCTGGGAACCTCTGAGGGCACTGCTGGTTTGGGACTTAGCAACTACATCTGTATAATTGGGGGGATAGGTTTCAGTGGCTTTTGAGATTCCTGTTGGAAGGAGATGATCATTTGTGGCGGCATTTTTGTATTTAATTTTATTAATTTTTTATAACTAAATTAGCATTGTAAAATAAACAAAAGGTGAGGACCTGAATAAGCAAGCTGTGGTGGCACCATCCACCAAGAAGTTTTCCTTAACTGTTGCTACTGATCTTGATTTTTTCCAATGACATTTGAATTTTATTCTTTTGTCTGTCATGTTTGTGAGAATCTTACAAAATGTAGCTTTCAGAGAAGCAAAACCTCAATGGGAAGTACCACCAGCTATTCCATTCTCTCCAGATTACCATTTGCCAATTAAAGTGAGATAACTGAAATTTAGAGTGTTAAAACACTTTAAACACAATTTAAACACTTTGCTTAAAAAGAAACCAACTGTACACTTCCATGCACGGTTCAGAATGGTCTGATTATGGTTTTGCAGCTAGCTGGGCTTGCTTGAAAAAGGATCACTAGCACACATGATAAATAAGATAAAAAGCAAAACACTAGAGCAATCTGCAAAGCCACCTACATATATCTGTTGCTGGATGTGTCTTGCTGGGCACAGCAAATATTAAACAAACAAATAAGACTGAGTTGTACTTCGGTGCTTTGCAGCTCACAATACACAGTGCACCAAGGAACAGTGGGAAGAAAATTTTAGAAGAACTTGAAGAAAGTAGTAAGTGATCATATTGAACTCTTTCCATTTAGTAAATAGCAATTAAAGTCATTTTCCCCCCCAATTCCATGCAATATAGCATCATTTCCAAAACACACACCTAATTAATCAGTTGACTGTCTGATACAGCTCAAATTAGGAATTTGTGATTTCAGATTTTGCAGTACACTGTGCATTTCAAGAGTATGCTTTCTGATAGCATCTCAATTCATTTACAAGAAAGCAGTTGTACTTCCCATTATTTATCAAAGTGGTGAAGTATTCTAAATATTCATTATAATAACATGCTTTTTTATGGTAAGTCTCCACTAAAAATAAACTGTTCACAGATACAGGTTAGGATTGGTTCCTTCAAACTTTGTTTCAATCTTTTTTTTTTTTTCCCCCCTTCAGGAGACTGGCTGTGTTTTAATAGCAGGTCTTTAGGTTATGCCTAGTTGAATTTCAGTAAATCTAAACAAAATCAGAAACAATTTCCTACAGTTTTTGACCTACGGCAATTAAAGACCGGCTTTAATTTATGGTGTATAAATACTGACATGCATTGTTAAATTTATTGATTTACCGAAGACCTTTAGGCTGGTTCTGCATAGAAGTAAACCACTTCAGATTTCACATAATGTTGTATCGCATCGGAAACCCAAGAGAGTGCCTTATGTCAAGCTTTACACAACTGTCCTAACCTCATACAGGAAAGGTATCGCTGGTTTAAAGCGGCACTTGCGGAAGGGCTCGTCCCTGGTTTTAGTTTAGCTAGGATGCAGCCAGCTTCTTAGAACAATATAATCATCCTTTATTCCCTTTGAACTATTTTTAAAGGGAAGAAAGACAGCAAAACAGATGTGCCCCAACAGAAGCACACACCACTCAGATTTCTGTGAAGATGAAGCTTAATGCATAAAATGGAAAAGCTACAATCTAGATGGTCACCATATCTACACCATTCTTACCCAATACATCTAACAGCAATTCTATCCTCACAGTGATTCTGCCCTCACTAAAGGTGCAGTAACACTCATTTCCCACAGAAGTCCTGGTTTTGAATTTCATTTCTTTTAGTAGCAAAAGGAAAACTAAATTTTGTTGCAGGACAGCAGCTGTCTACCAAAACCATGGGTTTTTATAACTGCTGTTATTCAGATCTGTGGAACAACTGAAGAAATTCCCCTGTTCATTAAAAATTCCCAGCCTGATGCCATGCATTAACAGCACCACAGCAAGTAACGGATCTCCATAATATTTCTAAACAGAAATTCAACTTGCATGCTTTTAGAAATACAAAGAGGAATCAAAAATCATGCCAACTTTTTACAGTAGTTTTAAAAAACAACTAGCATTATACTGTAGTAGCATTAAATTCTCCTTTTTCTAGTAAATAACCTTCATCAGCAGAAAACCCAAAGTTAATTGTTCCCGTTATCTTGGTACCAGATTAACTCTTTTGGACATTTCTCCTTTTGGGTGCTTTGCAAGCAAACCTTCAAGGAGAAGCAAATTGCTGCAGATTAGTGGAGGAGCACCAGGACTAAATTCCAACCAGAAACAGCAAAAAAAATCTATCTACTTTGCATGAGGCACGCTTTCCAGCTGTAGAAGTTTTTTGACGACACACTGCACAACATGGTCAAGAGCTCACAAAATATTCTCGAAGGATTAGTGCATTCATTTACTGTTGCTTGCTGTATCTCATAACACAAACTTCTTTCAGAGAAACCACCGCTCTGTACACACCATCGCCTCCCACCAGAACCTGTAGCATCAACTTCATCATTTTCCACAGACACAGAACTAATTTCAAGCTACTTGAGCCAAGCCTTTCCCCACAAACCAAAATCACAGCGCTGCTGCCAAGCAGCCTGACTCCCAGCAGTGACAAACACCACCTTCCAGAGGACCAGCTGTAAGCCACAATTAACAAATGCCCATTTGGACTTACCAGAACAGAAGAAGGCCCAAACTGTCAGGTTAAAAGATGTTTTTCATAAATGCTCCATCCAAGTTTTGAGAAAATGGAGGACTGGGGAAAAACTTGTTCTGTTTTTGCTTGTTCTTGCTCCCTCTCTTCAGGAACATTCTGCAAATAAACGCCAGCTCAGGCACAGCTGCAGGTTCATGCCTGGCACCTGTTGATGTCCCAGCTGTGCAGGCAGGGGACCTGACACAGGTGCTGCTCTGATCAGACAACCTGAAGAGCTGGAAATTTAACCCTTTTTGCTACCTCAGCACAAGCCACATGGCATGGAGTAGTGCAACCAGAGCTGAGATCCCAGGTGGAAGTCCAGCCACCCACCCAGTGTCTGAGGTGTGTGCCTTCACCCGTGGAAGGAGAAGCATTTCCTACTCACCGGAGCCACCAGCCAAGCAGTCCGGACAGGTGAGGCCTTCCCAGCCTTGGTCATGGAGCAGAAGGTGAAGATTTTCTTGTCCACAGGAGACCTGTGATATGCAGAACCCTGAACTGCAAAGAAGGAAAATACCCTGCTTCCCAGAGGAGTACTTAGTGCCATCACATAGCTGCCACCAGTGTGCTCTTGCCTGCTGGATTCAGCTCAGGATAGCACCAGAGTCACAGAAAGAGTCATGCTTTCACTTTGGGAAAGCACCTGATGATCAACAGGGCCTTTTCTAAGACAAGCAAACTGTTTTGGTGCTGCCATACCTACCAAATCAACTCCCTGTGAAATATTTTGGCCCTAAGATCACAGACTATGACTTCTGTCAATAATTAAATGTTTCCTAAGTCAGCAGGAGATCATAAAGAGAAAATTTTCAGGATTTCCACTTGGCAAAATATGCCAGACCACAGCAGTGTTTCAACATTTCCTTTTTTTTTTCCTCCCCACTTAGCGTACCAAACCCAGTCCTAGATTGAGAAAAATGCAAATTGCACTTCAAGAAGATACCAATTTCCACTCAAAATCTTCTGATGAGAGGGCATGAGAGTTGTTGAACTTAGGGAAACACAAAATACAAGTTTTACATAACAAATCCTATTCCTCAGTATACCTGGCACTTACCACAGCCGTACCTATAGCCTTCGCTTAATCAGATCATTCCTCTGCTACACAAAACTTATAAACATAACTGTACCAATACCACCATAACAGCTTAAAAATGTAGAGAGCACAGAAAACTTAGTCACCGTCGCATAAACAGCAAGAATACTTGTTAATGCATTAGCCATAGCACTTGTTTTCCACGTTGTGAATATACTTTGAGTCACAAGAACCCAATACACCCCACCAAAGCTCTCAATTAGAAATGTAATTTTATTTAATTTTTTCACTCAAACTGAATTTTCTCATTCCAAATCTTTACTTAAAGAGATAGTAGCTAAATGCTTAGAAAAACAGGAACTGCTCTAATAGGCAGCTAGAGAAACGTATGTATCGATACAGACGGAATGTAAATTTCAACTCATAGATCACAACATACAAAGAAGATTTTTATGCAATACAGACTTACAAAACAATAACAGTTCTTTTCACAAATATTTTCACAGAGTTCTGCACAGCAATCTTGTAGAAAAGTAGATTTGTGCAACACCAAAATAACTTATTGTTCCTTAGTATAAATATTTTTTTTTTCATTTCCTAAAAGAAAGAGAGCATTTCATATGATTGGACAGGATCTGACTGGATTTGGTGATAGCAAAATATAAAAGATGTTCCTGCCGTACACAGAAAAGGAATATGGTGTGTGCTACAGTATTGCAGGAGTCAGTTGTGGAAAAATGAGAAGAATAGCCTGCAAGTCTAGTGCTTCTGCTGTTGTATAGAGGCTGAGCACCAGCAAACATCTGCCTTTTTAGTGCTTTCACAGTCAAACAGCAGAAATGTGCTTTGGTACTTGCACCTATTAAAAAAACAAACAAACAAAAAAAAAAAAACAAAAAAAAACTGCCTCTGCAGGTTCCTAATTTGAGTTTAAAGTTTCCAAATAACCTTTCTGATTTTGAGGAACAATCCACATTTTGGTGTGCTTTGAAAGAGATGCCAAGTAAAAACTAGGAGGATTCACACTTGATGTAACACAAACTCCGTTGCTGATTTCTCTCTCTTAACTGCACAAAGCATACAACTAAAAAAGAACTAATTGTCTAGGCCTAGAAACATGCTTGAATAGTAACATTGATGGAAACAATTTTCAAAATTTAAAATTACATTAACCATAATTTAAATATTACTATTGATTCCCAGAAACTTCAGTGCTGTTGTAGTACAATCATTTGGAAAAGTACAAGACAAAGTGTAGTACAGATAGTACAGATTAAAATTCCCCAAACATCACAATTCATTTCCAGTATGCTAAAATTATATATTCTTCAAGGTTATAGGTAAAGCTTCAGGTGGAAAATTCATTTCTTCATGGTACAGCTAAAACATGAGTTTTAACCATCTTTAATTTAGGTTTCTTTTACATACAGGGATCAAAATAGACTTCTCATTATGACTAAAAATATAGATTTTTAACTACAGAACCCAGCAGCCATTTTTCTGCTTCATTGCCCTTCCCCCAAAAAAGTCAAGCAAGGTCTACAAAAATAGCGATTAACTTTAAAAAATAGGTTGCTTCTCCCAGCAAATTTAAGTTACATTCAGATGGGATATAGCTATTTATAAGGAACAACGCTGTGGCAGGACACCAAGGGAGGCGTGCTATGGCCAGTCTCATTCTGACAACAGCTGCCCACATCAGTGCTAATCGTGGTCTCCGTGAAGATCAGTATCGGGTTTGATATTCATGATGCCAACGATTGAAATCATTGTAGAAAACCACTATGCTCCCAGATGCCATGCCAGTCAGTATACACCTAAGAAAAGCACAATATCACGTTAGTCAGCAGACCACTGCACGGTCATGTGTATGAGCCAACACACCAATGGGTTATGCCAAGACAGGCACGAGGAGAAAGCTGGAGCTGGAAGGGCTTCACATGTCAGAAGAGTCCTTAGGGGCTTCAGGGGCTCCCAAAGACTTCAGCACGCTGGATTTAGCTAATACTGCCATCTGCACAAGCTCTGACAGAAGATTTATGGACCACAAAGCCTACCGAAACACCATGCAACGGTCTGGATGGTTGGCCTGAAGCTACAATTGACTCAAAAGTCACACGACAGAAGAGTTTACCAGCATCACTGTCCTGTAACCGGTTGAGATTTCCTGGGATTATTGTTTGGCTTGCTCATTTGTTTTTGCAGCATATGGGAGTGGGATGAAGCACTGGTGAAGCAGCGAAGTGGAGAAGGTTTGGGAGATGTATTCACTTCAGTTTAGCCTTCCCCATTTAAGTTTTGCTCTATATGAAGTAATTGGATGTCAGCATAGGACACGTTAGTGTTGGGGTTTGAAAATAATTTGAAGGCTTCAATGGTTTTGAAAGTTCTTGAAAGCAATTGCTGTACTTTCCCACTGTGGTACTCTCTTTAAATTCCTTAACACTGGCCTACTACTAGAGACAATTTAGACCTATTTGAAAAGCCATGATGCTGGCAATAGCATACGATAACAAGTGCTTCTGTATTGTGATTTCTACTGTTTCATATTAAAGTTTTATGAAAATCAAGAGCATGAGGAAATACAAAACTCTGGCATTTTGAAAAAAAAAAACACACTTCAGAATGAAAAATAAATATTCAGAAGGAAAAGCTGCAATTTTTCCTTCAAAACAAAGATGAAATATGAGATCATTAAAACATTGCATTTTGATAATGTCACTACTTCATTTCAATAGAACCATTTTGACTGTTTTTGTATTAGGTTAAAACCTTTCTTACACACAGTCTGTCAAACATATACATTCATGCACACCAAATAAATTAAATCCTCTTCTGCATTTCTGTCTTCAAACCCAAAGTGAATTGGTTCCTGACTTGAGCACATGGATACATTTATAGATGTCCATATTAAATTTCAATTTATTGACATGCGAACATTTTGTTGACATGCTATTATAATTACCATTTATAGATTCTCTAAATGCAAAACTGTATACATATTCAGGGGTCTAAAATTCAACAGCTGTAACGCAAGCTTTTGAAATACTTTTCACAGCACTTTGTTTTTAATGGAACACTGATTTTTTTCCAAAATGCCTATAATCTCTAATTATGTTTAACAAGAAGTTCAATGTTTGATTGAAGTCCACAGATTTTGCTGACTTGTTTTTTTTTTAATAGCTCATTTCATGTAAGCATTAGAAATGCAGTCCAGGTGAAAAAAAAAATATTTAAATATTTGCTACGGACTTCAGTGGAAAGTTAAGAATCTCAACAATATGCTTTACTATACAATGTAGACACTCCTAAGTGATCTAGAAGCTCAAGCCTCTTCGAAAAGCATACGGCAACTCCTCTAAGCATATACACCAAAACAAAACAAAAAATTCTCACCTGTGAGCAAGAAGGGTACAAATGAAATTGTAAACATGCCATAAAAAAACAGTACTATTGTAATAAAAATACAAACGTCTTTTAAGTATAGCAGTATTGGCAAGTGCAATGAAAAAACACAGTAAAAATATTATCTAATTGTCTTCAGTAGAAGAAATCTTTAAGGGGTGTCAGGATTTATATAGATAAAATCACTTCTCTAGAAATGAACATTAGTATTTGCTTTTTTTGTATGGATGTGTAGAAGGAATCTTATTGTGCAGCTCTTTTAACTGATCTATTTTTTACATGAAGATCTGGAATTAGGAATGTGATTTGTACCGTAAGTGAACAAAGAAACATGAAAAGCACATACATAACCTTCCACCTCCATCTGACCCATACTGTACATGCACAGGCCAATAATTCAACCTATTTGGAAAGTCTGCCAAAGTAAGACTTCTTAAATATCTCTTCACTCCCTGAAAGATCTGAAATACTCAAAAAGATTATCTGCCCTAAATATGACATTCCAGAAAGAAACTTATGAAAGTACAGAATTCTCAAGATAACCATCAGGATCTGAAATCCACAGAATATCAGAAGCAAAACAAAAATATAATTTCACTGTAAAAATATATTTTCTGAAATTCACATGAACACCAGACTTTGCTCTAACCTTTGGTCATATGACAGGGCCAT